ACATTTATTTACAGTGCGATTATTTTTGATTTTTGAATCATTTTTATGGACACATATTTTTTAGAATGCCTGACTGACAATAAAGGAACTGTGTTGATACTGATAGTGTTTTGCCTTGCCTTTTTTTTACTGCATCTTCCCATGACATCATGATTTTCCTGCTCTCTTTTTGCTATTGGACTTTACTTTATGGCTATACAAACCTGTGACATTACTCACAGCATTCATTGTTCTATCCCTTTCTTTTCCTTTTTTTGGCAATCTTATCCTGTACTACCTATGCAGGATTTGTCAGCGTACATTCCTTCCTTCATATGGTTTCTCATTCTTTTTGCACAGCTATATTGTGCATAGCCTACTTTTCTTTTACTATATAAACCCCTGTATTTTACCTTGTAAAACAACAAGAACTCCAATCCAGACTTCTTCTCTAATTTCAAGTTCACTACTCTGCTGCTTGTGATCCAGTGTGGTCACAACACTTCCCACTGCTACCACTGTCAACTGCTGTCATCGTCACTTCCCATTTTTGAAGTCATTGTCATCCCTTTCGGTTAGAGTTCTTCTGAGCACTACAGTTTGTGCGTCAGGAGCCTGCTATCACTGGGAACCTTGTCACCTTGTCATCCTCGTTGTTCTCAAACCTACCTTGTGCTACAATTAGCAAGGTAGTGCTCATCTATACTCGTCACTAAGCACCTATCTTCTATAAATTCAACTATCCCTCCTCCTCAAAACCCACACTCATACACCTCTGGGTTTTACTTTGAAGGATCTTTATACGTACCACCCCACGAACAACCAGAGCACCCACTGTTCTAGGAGGCAAAGCCCATAAACAAGTTCCGTGGAATCTGGGAGGATTGTGTGTTAGTTTGTTTTTGTGCAGGACAGGACCCCGCTATAGCAGACACAATAGTATACTGAATTTCCCGATGCTCTCAACCCGTCATCTGCTTCACATGGGAGACCCCGTTGCTAAAATGCCGGGCACCAATGTGTGCATGCATACTCTTGTATCAGGCATCCAGCTTCTCCTTTCCAACCATTTCTTTGCACCAAACCAGCGGGTGATTAAAGAAAAATTTATGGCCGGTATGCAGAATTTCTGGCACCAAGAATTTTGCGGAATCGGCAAGATGCCAGTCATACAAAAATGGTACACTTGTGCCGCTGAGACCCACATCCTTAGCTGCAGGGATATATACAGCAAGATCCCAAGGATCAGCAGCTTGTTCATTGAGTCGCTTTAACAGATTGACAGTATAGCAACAAGTGTGGGGAGGATGAGGAAAGGGATTGCCGAACTCATTAACTGTAGCAAGGGAGATGGGAGAGACACTCTTTGAGGTGCAAGCAATCAATTGTTGTTCAGGAAGGTCTGCGACCCAAACAACCAGAGGCATAAACGTAACCCTCAAGATACCATGGGGGTCTGGGGTAATCTGCTCATACTTTGCCACACACTTGAGATTCATTCTCCATGATAATGTCTATGCAACGGTGCCAAAGCCATGCATAATGAATAGTCTGGTACTCTGTATGAACATCGTTGAAGGTCACAATGGGCATGAATGCTGTACACATCCATGCATGTGAAGTTGCCTTCATGTGCACCTCAGAGTTGATGTTTGCGAGAGTAAGGAATGTCGGATGCATCTGCAGTCCACCTGTTCCTCTGGTTACAACCGCCTTGTCTGAACCCGCTATAATACCCATCACAGTAGTGCCTACCAGATACTGATCCTATGCACTTTTTTCAAGACATATAAAGCAACCAGTCTTGAACATAGCACCTACCTGAAGTTCCCAAGCGTAGTCTGCAGTCATGAATTCACTATATACGTGATTTTCCTCGAGGGCCTTGTTTGAAGAGTACTCTTTTTTAGGATCCAACATGATGTGGTTAAAAAGATGACAAATTATGACATGTGTTTATAGTATGAGAAAACATGCATTGGCCAGGGCTTGAACCTGGGACTCCAGCTTTCATGGTCTGGTGCTTTACCAACTAAGCTACCAAGGCGTACTTGGAAAGTATACTGATTGGTTGCATGCCCAGAAGGTCCAGAATCACTGTACACGGGTGCGGATCCCATTGTGTTGTGATAAAAGATACTATTTGCCACCTCCAGGCCATCTCGCCAGATCAGCCTGATTGGCTTTGTAGTAGGATAGCCTTCAACAACAAGAGTCTGTAATTGCCACTTTGGGCTGCTGGGCAGATAGTCCATAAAGCTTCATAGTTTGTGGGCAGAACTGAAGGACAGTGGTGCTGATTTGCATGTCTGCAGGCGCAATGAGTATATCTAATAGATAATAAAATAATCATGATACCTATGTCAGTTTTAGGAAGGCATCCAACTGCATCTGATTGAGATTTTCAATCAGAAACATGGCAAGCTCCCATTCCTCCCTTGTAGCAAAAGGCCAGAAATGCTGTTTTCTTTGATATCTTGCAAAACAATTGTCATCAGAATCCATTTGTTGAAACAGGTTAGGACCTCTTCCGTATTTATAACCAGAGTTAGGATGATACTGAAACACTGTTCCCTGAGGAGGTGTCTGTGGAATATGTTGGTGCCCCTCTTCATCCCTTTCTGCCTGCATTGGATCATCACTGTTGTTTTCTGCATGCATTTGTTCCCGACTCTCCTCCATGGCCGCAACGCAAGTTTGATAGGGATCATTGGGATGAGCTATTACTTTGTCATATGTCGCAAAAATCAATGAGCACTGAGCAGTGGGGCAAGGAATCATGTGAGCAATTATCCACCTCTGTAGTGATTTTGCAGCTTGAATGCAAACGATGTCGATGATGAGAACTGCTGTTAGAAAACCACACACAAAAACAAACTAACACACAATCCTCCCAGATTCCACGGAACTTGTTTATGGGCTTTGCCTCCTAGAACAGTGGGTGCTCTGGTTGTTCGTGGGGTGGTACGTATAAAGATCCTTCAAAGTAAAACCCAGAGGTGTATGAGTGTGGGTTTTGAGGAGGAGGGATAGTTGAATTTATAGAAGATAGGTGCTTAGTGACGAGTATAGATGAGCACTACCTTGCTAATTGTAGCACAAGGTAGGTTTGAGAACAACGAGGATGACAAGGTGACAAGGTTCCCAGTGATAGCAGGCTCCTGACGCACAAACTGTAGTGCTCAGAAGAACTCTAACCGAAAGGGATGACAATGACTTCAAAAATGGGAAGTGACGATGACAGCAGTTGACAGTGGTAGCAGTGGGAAGTGTTGTGACCACACTGGATCACAAGCAGCAGAGTAGTGAACTTGAAATTAGAGAAGAAGTCTGGATTGGAGTTCTTGTTGTTTTACAAGGTAAAATACAGGGGTTTATATAGTAAAAGAAAAGTAGGCTATGCACAATATAGCTGTGCAAAAAGAATGAGAAACCATATGAAGGAAGGAATGTACGCTGACAAATCCTGCATAGGTAGTACAGGATAAGATTGCCAAAAAAAGGAAAAGAAAGGGATAGAACAATGAATGCTGTGAGTAATGTCACAGGTTTGTATAGCCATAAAGTAAAGTCCAATAGCAAAAAGAGAGCAGGAAAATCATGATGTCATGGGAAGATGCAGTAAAAAAAAGGCAAGGCAAAACACTATCAGTATCAACACAGTTCCTTTATTGTCAGTCAGGCATTCTAAAAAATATGTGTCCATAAAAATGATTCAAAAATCAAAAATAATTGCACTGTAAATGAATGTTCTGCTGAAGAAAAAGAAACTGGAGCCACCGGTCCACCACCTAGTCCAAATCCGACAGTTCCATGGCCTTACCAATGGACTGGTTGTGTTGGACCACCTGATCAAACGAGGGAGGGAGAGGAGTAGTTCCAATTTGGAATAAGTGAGTCCCAGGCAGTGTGTGGTAGGTGTAGCTATAGCGAAGATGATGGACAAAAGATAAGTGTACCCAAGTGAATGGGACAGCGATGAACATGGGCGACGCAAGGGGATGAACCTTCTCCAGCTCAAAAACTACCCACCCACGCTCCAACCAGGCAAGACGAGCGACCGATGTTTTGATAGTATATGATGGTAGATCGACGTCATAAAGATGGACCTGTTGCCCTATTTGAACCGGCCGCCGGGGCTTTGCTGATATCAGCAGTAGCACGTGGTAGTCAACGGATTGGCGACGGAAGCGGATAGGAAGTGGTGACATCAGAAATGGTGGGGGTGCAAATAAGATGAGGAGGAGGAGGGTGGAGGTGACGAAAAAGTGGATTAGAATGGAGATCCAGAAACAACTGTCAGGTGAGAATAAAAAGGAGAGGAAGGGGCCCATGGTGGGGCTAGGCAAAGGAAGGGGAGTAAGGGAAACAACAAAAATGAGGGCACAATACAATGTGTAGCCAGTGGCGATGCGAAAATTTGCCGAAATGCTGAAACGCGGAAAGTACCGAATGGAAAAGCAAAGGTGAGCGTGACTGGATTGCCTAATAGAGGTGATGCTGATCAGCCACAAGTTCGAAAAAGGCAATATTAATTACTATTCCACGTGGCACTGTGCCTGTGTGGCGCAAAGGCGAGTCTTTTTGAATATTTGCTTCGTTATTGACACTTGTCCATGCTACCAATCAACTTTGGTGCATGACAACAAGCAGCCCAGTGATTTGGAACTCCAAAAAGGAACGACTTGTCCACAACCCTCATGGCAACAGCTGAGCCAGAGGTCCTCAGGCTTCCCCCTGGGCTAAATATGCAGCAAAAACCGGCCAAATTGCTTTCTGAGGATGAAATAACCCTGAAAAACAACAATCACATTCACTGTCTCCCTCATGTTTCAGCAAGGCACCCTGTTGAAGCCCTCTTGACCCTCTCAAGCCCCTTCTCCGCCACAAATGCCTGCGAAGAAAACTCGTAGGAGAAGTCACACTGATCCCACCATTGTGCGACCCAGGTGTCAATTTTACACGCCACATGGATACTACAAGTCATTCTCATCTCCTATCCGGTTATCACCGATGAAGGCACAACACTCGTTTGAAAAGAAAGTTGCCACACACCATGTGGACTGCATTTCAGAGGAGGTCAGTGCTTTATGACTATGTAGGGTATCTGCAATTCTCATAATATACTTCCCATAGGAGATATCCGCTTATGAGCTAGAGTCTATGCCAGTACCTGCAATTTACAAGGCCTACCAAGCCAAAAAAGCAGGACAACAATCCCTCAGATGTGCGGTGCAGCAATTTGCTTGGAAGGTAATGGAATCCTCCATGACAAAGAAGTTTTACAGGGAAATGTTGGGAAATAGCAGGAAGGCACTATTGAGTAGCAATGCCAAGGTGGTATTTTTAGAGGACTACATGCGGCAGAAGGGACTTCCCATCCAAATACCTGACTTCAAACCTGCACCCATTGAGCCGGTGTTCAAAGCTTCTCCCTATGACTCAGTGGATATGCATTCAGACAAGGGCACGGAGTCCGATAGTGGTGAGAGTGGCACAGAATCTGATAGTGGCGGGAGTTGAGATGTCAGCAACTCTGAGGGGTCTCAGGATTCCTACCCTGCTTGAAGAGGGAAAGATTCAGGGAGCTTGCAGCTTTTATATTTGCTTTACTTTGTCTGTATTGCTATTTTTGTTTACAATATATCTGTTCATTGTTTTGTGAAATGAATCTTCTGATTGTTATCTTGGAACATCAGGCTGCCTCAAGTTCAAGAGGTATTAAATGAAGGGTTTGTACTTCTGTTCTTGCTTTCTTTCTCTCTTGCCATGTCTTACAATCATCTCTCTCATCATGGTGAGTCCCTAATATTTATTTTTTTGATCTAATACTAACAGAACTCCTGAATAGCTCAAGTTTGATTGGGTGCTCCTGCAAGTGAAAATCCCCAGGACACTCGCAACTTGCAACAGATCCCCCCATAGTTACAGGGCTCTCAGGATTGGTATATTTCCCCACAGTCCATCCCGTATCATCCCCCTCAATTTCAAATTCTGATGTCTGATCCTACATTTCTATCCTCATACCATGTACCTCAGCATGTGTTTTATCCTCCACCCAACCCCCCCCCCCTTATCGCACATTTTCAGCCGCCAGTGCTGTCTTGTTGATAAAGTGTTTGATATGGGATAGCTACCAAAGCTTCTTTATCCTAGGGTTACTGGAAGTTTACAACCTAAGCTGGACAACAGGTAATAACCTAGTTTGTTTGTGGGGTGGAAGTTAATTATCCCTTATGTTATGAGTATGTCAATAGTCCTTGTGCTCTGGAAGACTAATATGACAATGGTAGATATGTCCTTGGTGATATAAAGGACAAGTGGTAGTATGTGAATAGAAGTGAGAGGGTATGTGTGAGTTTGAAGTGTTGCGTGACTAGCTTCAAGATATAGCCATGACAATGATAGTCCTTACTTGTAGAGAGACTAATAGAATAAAGATAATAGTGTCCTACATTTGATAAAGGACAAACTATGATACATTGATGGTCGATAGAAGGGTGAAGCAATGCTTGACTATGCTCTAGTGACTGACTGCAGATGAGCTTACACCAGATCAATAGATGACTGATATAAGTTTGAGATGAACTATAGAATACTAGAGCTACTTGTGGCAAATAATAAACAATCACAGACTGTAATCACACTTGGACTACTGTTATCTGTGACAGATGTGACTTGATGACTAAGCTTCCTAGGGTGGGCAATACCTTTTGTATACTTCCTAGGCAAAAGCTAGTTGACTTCTGAGTGGTTGTCCACTTATGTGGGGACTGCTTGTAAGTATAAGCTTTTTTTTTTATTAGGTGGAAAGTTGGCCTTCTTATATACCTTTTGGCTATAGGGGCTCCCTCCCAGTTGGTAATTACAAATGGTAGTACCAAAATATCTAATGGAAATTCAAAAGGCCAGAATCATCTATTGGGAATCTAGATGATTCTAGAGTGGTCTTTTTGAGACTAAGAATAGAAAAGTAATTTGAAAATGTGGAGCAAAATATGACTCAGTCAGGCACAGTGTTCTATTTATAAGAAACAAATGCCAATTCAGCCTTCTCCACAGTATAACAAGAATTTTGGAGAATTTCCTTATTTGAAAGCCCTCCAAAAGTATCCAGACTGATAGGGGCGTGAAAGCATTACCTACTCCCCAAAAACCGGAGTGATTGGTGAAGTGGTTGTTGAGAAAAAGGCAGATTATGTCGTGGGAAATTCACTTTCCCTTTTCAGAAACTGACCATGTGCAAGCCATGTGGTCAGATTTCAGTGTGGCTGCCAGTGGCTGACAATAAGCGTGATACAAGCATTCTTGTTTGGCTCATATCTCCAGAACTAGCAGTCATCAAAATATAAAACTTTGTGACATAGTACTTTGGAATGTGTGCTTTAAGATGAGGTACTTTTGCGGGGTACAATATGTCGTGGAATGCCATGTCCATACATGAAACATTTTTCATGTATAATAACGTGTCTTCCACGTTCCATCAGCCTCCACCTCCTTTTCACCCACCTCCTCTGCACCCCATGATTAACTCACTTCCTCCCAAATGCCCCCCTGCCTTGTGTCCGCCTCCCTTTAACCCACCTCCTCTGTACATGAATCCCCCAACCAACTCGCTCCCTCCAAACTCACTCCCTCCAAACTTGCTCCCTCCTGAACACCCCCCTCTTCCTTCACACAACAACCGGATATTTCCTGTCCAGAGATTGCCCGTCCGTCCATCTCTGTCCATGCTATGGCAGCTGGTGCAGGGAAAAAAGGGAGGATGACAAGAGTTGTTGCATCAGGAGCGGTTGCACAGCCAAGCATTAACCCTGAAGCCTAAGAAAGGCTCAGGGTTGAATACTGCAGGTAACGGCATGAGCTCACAGTTGAGACAGGCATCAGAGCAAGCCTTGGAGCTCAGCCCCCCCCCCCCCCCCCCACGTTTGGCTTGCCCCATCTCTTCTCCAACCGCATGATCCACAATATGGAAAGCTTGGATAATGAAGACATCAAAGAGGAGAACCCCAAAGAGCAGCCTCCAAGCAACAGAGGCAACAGTGGGCTATCATTATGTTCAATTGAGAACTTCTGGAAAGTGTCTAGCCACTTGCTGAGAGCTAACAGGGACAGAACTAGAGTCCAGTATGAGTAACTATATTATCAGAGAGTACAGAATGTGTACAGTACCTAGAGTCCAGTATGAGTAACTAAAGAATAGAAATACTGGACTCTGCAATACTAGTCCGAAGTTTTGTAAACAAAGGTAAACAAATCAGCCACAAAGGCGAAATTATAGAATGCTCAGTGAATACTGAACAATACAGCAAAAAGAATAAAAAGGAAAGTGATTTAGAAAGAAGGGAAAATAGATAGCACAACTAGGTGCAGAATCACCAAAACTAACACATCATGCCAAACGTACTCCCTTGGGCCTCCTCCAAGCAAGGCTGGACCGTCGTCAATAGGGGCTCCTGTTCCAGCATTAGGTATGTTATTATGATGCCGACGGGGGTACCAGGACTATGTTCATCAGAAGTGTTGTGGGGTATAATACACTTAGAGGATCGCACTTACAACCGCATAATAAGGGTCAGTCATTTTTTACATGTTTTAATTTTTCTAACTACAGATATTAATAAGATCTAGGTGTCCATGAAAAGTACCGGTCGAAGAAATGCACATCACGAAGACCCCCATCACCTGATTCAGAGTCAAGCGTCTCTGACAGAAGATCAAAAAGTTACCGGCAAGGGAAAAAGCGACAAACAAGGTTTGGTAAATCTGAGTTGGAAGACGCAAAAAATGTAATCCATCACTTGATCTTGTTGGAGAAGGGGATGCCAAGTATGAACGCCAAACAAGACTTAGCAATAGATGCCCTTCAGCAGATTGCTATTGAGCGGGGTGATGGTAAGTTTCTACTGCCTCTTGGTCAGTCGCACAGCTAATATGGCTCTAGATCCTGATTTGATAAATATACAGCTCTTGGACATCAAGGCTGTTACCAATGCAGTGTCTGCCCTACGGGGCATATTCCGACATAATAAAACTATGTGAAACTCAGCCACTGCCCAAGAGGCTATAGAAACGACTTTATTATTTACCTATGTGAAACTACAATGGATGTTAGTTTAAGGTGATCTCTAATAAATGTAATGTAACATACCTTAGCCGCTGCCCAAGAGGCTATAGAAATGACTGAGGTATTTCTATACTGGACCCCCTACTACTTATAGCCGGAGGTGCTACTCGCTATAGTATAATGACTCCTAGGAGTACAATTATGCTCCTAGGAGAACAATGGTGACTCCATGGAGCGGTGGCTATGCTCCATGGAGAACAATGGCTGCTTCAGCAGAGACTGTTACAATTAACATACCAGCACCTACTTATGCTTCACTTTTGTACTTCTACTTTTATTTTCCAAGTCACATGACCAGTCATGTGACCATTTACTTTACTTTACATTTTCGACTTTTCATAGTCACATGACCAGGTCATGCAACACATCACCTGACCAGTGTCTAGACTCATCATGTGACCGGTCACTTGCTAGACATCGGACTTTGAACTTTATTTACAACTGTACAGTACCTCATGTATTTTAGTATATATACAAGAGCAATACATGGGGAAGGACTCAGCGAGTCCTCCTGTTGTATACCAACTAACTCTCTGCATCTTAAGGAGTAACCACTCCCTCTTCATTCTCTTTATAGTGTGTTCCTGTGTGCGCCAGAGTAACTAACTCTTGGTTGTTACAGAGACCGGGTTTATCCGGTTTTGTCAAGACATGCAGCACAAGGCTTGGTACAGGGCTTGTATGACTTATGCCCCACCCTGGGGAGCCAAACTACTCATTGATCCCATAGCAAATATGTTAGGTCTTGCCATGCAGAGCTAATGGCTGCACCCCACAGGCTTCTGCTACACCCAGAAGTCAACGGGGGTACTAGACACTTCGGTCACAATGGCATTGTCTACGTGATACTGGATTCTTTGTTTTTGCACTGAGAGATGTTTGGCCATGTTTTTATGGATGTAATCCAGGATGACTTAGATCCCCACCTTGATCATATTGTTGCCCTCGCAAGTACTGCCCTTTTTGCTGTGCTGGCAGATTACCAGTGTGGTTATTTTCACAGTATTTCATTTGAAGCAACAACCTATCGCAAGTTTTACGAGGAATGTTTGAATTTAATCCAGAGGATTTGTACAGACAAGGATGCACCTGAAGTTTTAGAGGAATACCAACAATTATTGAGGGAAATTGTGAGGTTGGCACAAGCTATGTAAGCTTTTGTTCTTTGACATGATCAGACCTCACTGAAATGTCTTTCTTTTGTCTAGGATTCCCAATGATGATGATGTTGTCTCATTTGCACCCCAAGAACCCTTTGGTGATAATGTAGACTGATTTTGGCAGGGATTTTTGTGATTTTCTGTTAGATACTTCAATCTTATCTTATCTTGGGACGTTGGAATATCAAACAATCATTTGAACTCAGTAAAAGACTGATAATTGCCTGAGAATGTTGCCAATACAGATCTCTCCTCAATACGGTGATATTATAGGGTGAAGCGCGAATTTTTTGACTCTCATGCTAGTCCAAGTTAATCCGAGCACATGAGAACTCAAAGCACTTGGTGCAGGCTATTTTATGTTAGATGTATTATATGAATTTTATTCATGAGTTCAGGGAACGGTCCCCAATATATCTGACAAGCATATTTGGTGATATTGAAGAGTTTGTATGGTTAATTGTTTGCTCTAATTTTTTTATTTTCTTTCTCTCATATTTTATAGCGGTGGTCCTAGTACTTTGGCTTTTTCTGAATCCTCCCATCTCATATTTGAATTTAATGCTATAGAGGAGGCAGCCAGGGCTTTTAAGCAGTAATCTCATATATTTGTAGCTGTTATTTGTATATTGCGCTTTTATAAATTATTGATATCTTTGACTGTTTTTACATTTTGAAAATGAGTGAAAGTGGGATTGATCTAGTTAGCTTAAATGGTGTTTAGAGGAATGAAAGTCATTTATATCAATCTATTGCCAGGCCGTATACAGCTGGGGTGACTTTGATACATTTGACTTTTTATGCTATAGGCAATTTCTATATACTATAAGCCTGCACATTTTTAAATCTAGTGTGCTATAGTGCACTATAGCATGGAACTTTGCAAGATTTGCACTTACAGATCTGAACCAACCCGAGCAATTTTTTGTACTTGATTACATTTATAGCCACATCATGTTTTCCTAATGTGCAATTTCAATTGCACAGGATACATCAGGCCAGAATAAAAATGGGTGTTCTGAACGCCCATTGAGGAGAGGAGCCTATATCCCTCAGCAGCAGTTAAATGGAGTTTTACAAAAGCCATCCCATTGTAGCCTTGTTCAGCTGAGTGGCATCCTGGACACCTGCATGGTGTTTGATGATGTTGTGCAATGCAGAGGATATGCCAGTTCCAGAAAGCACCCAATACAAAGCAAAGTTTTCGAGTGAACACACCATGATTTTTGAAGATGGAGAAGGATAAAGAGGCACTAGACACACAAGTGATCAATGTGGCATGATTGCAAGACATATTCAATATTGATACAAGTAAATAATCATACAACTGTTGGTTACACATTGAGAAATTGTCAAACTTAACACTTTGCATAGTCAACTGTTCCTGCAGTCCTGGTTTATGTGGTGTCGATCATGGATTTATTTTCAAGAAACAGCTTACCATGGAGATGATGGATCCTCATAATTGCCTAGCCACTTTGTGAGAAGGGAAGTCAGCTTGTCTCCCCTTGTGGGTGTCCTGGACGCCCAACACTTGTCTCCACAGCTGCTGCCATATCCATCTGTCCAATAGGGTGTCCTAGATGCCCAGAACTTAGTCTTTTCATGTCCAATCAATGCTTGTTCATTCAAATGATATAATTTGAAAGATACATATTTACAAACATACAAATGCACACACAATTGTTAGGTTACAGTAGTTTTGTTGGAAGTTCACACTTTCAACTCCAATGTGGCATTATCAATCTCATTACAAAACCTGCCACACTTATGCACCTTTGCCAAGCCAAAGTCTATGATGTAAAGTTTATTACCTTGACAACTGCGGACCACATTTCGGGGCTCAAGGTTAGGTTAAACCTTAACCTGTTACGCACAGAAGAGCTTCAGCTTGCATGTCACACTTTGCATTTAAAGCAACCTTACCTGTTCTCCTTGTTGTTCACCATCATCCCCAGCTTTCCTGCCTTTGGGTGGTGGTGGCTGCTTAGGTAGATATTGTTCTAACAATGGTGATGGCGGATATTGTGATACAAGGGCATACTGGGGCCCTGCGTATCCATGTGGATACCGACAGAGCATGGCATGAGTTAAATAAGAAACGAGACGAACCCAGTTTGTCTGCCTCGTCTCCAAGTCAGGTGGATTCCAATCATATATGACAGATATGGAGTATGTATTGCCCTTTCTATAGGCAAAAAAATATTCAGTGGAGGTTGAGATGATTTGATGTTGCAGGTGCCTGATATTTGATTGGGTCCACACCTCAATGCAGAAATGTCAATATCTGCTGCTCAACCAACATAAACAATACATTACCTTGGCAATTAAGGCCTGAGCCTTCACCTTCCAGTCTTGCTCGCCACTGTTCTCAGCTGACCGATTGGGGGTGTAAGTGCCCTCCACCACCCCTTGGCAGAATTTCCTCAAAGTACTTCCCTGGTCTGATTTGCAGGCCTTGTTTGTCTTTAACTCCACCATCATGACTACTGAGTTGGCTTTTGAACTTGGTTCACCATATGGGAGGACAAGCATGATGTCTGGTTGCCCTGCTCCACCACTTTGAGAGTGGGTGATCCGCAAGAAATGATGTTGCGGCCGCACCGCTACCGGACTGCCATGTATAATTGTCCAATACAAGATTGTCCAGCTTTGTGAACTGGCATTGGGTGAGATATTCGTATATATCATTTTCCGTGTTGATTGTGGTAAAGGTAAACCCAGGCCTGAACCAGTCTGTGTAAACAGGCACAACACTCGGAGGGGGGCCATAAGAAGTCAGATGGTGGTGAACATCGAGGTTGTTGTAGACACGACTATTGTGAGCGGGATGTTGGAGCCAGAAATGGAGAGGATCAAAGGGTTGGAAATCATGAAGAGATGCCAGACAGTGCACCTCATCAAATGTGATGGTGTGCATGGCAGAGTTCATCAGGTTGCCATCAAGAGGAGAGTCAGGGCGGTCTTTGATCAGTAAAGCTAAGTATGTGGAGTCCGGAGCGCATAACTGCAAAGGATCTAGTAATACTGAAGTAGGTGCCATTGGTGTTACTGGGAAGGTAGATAAGGAAGGTGATTTGACAAACTAGAGGACTGAGGTGATGTTACTTATACTTGCCATCGCGCCCTCATGACATAAGCTGTATATGATAGAAAGGTGTGTTGTCTCTCGCCACGTGCTAGCTATGACAGTGGACACCTGACATACCGAGATTTTAGCGTTCCGCGCCTCCGAAGGTGAGATATTCCCCCTGCGTCATCTTCTTGGCGACAGAAGGCGTCGTATACATTCCAGATGTAGTAGATTAATACAGGGACATAACTTGATTTAATGCTGATATTTGCCACCAACACCAGGCAGACATGTGGGCGTCCTGGACGCCCGCCTGGCGCAGAGTGTTTTTAGTTCATAATTTTATTTGCTAGCAGCCCCTGCAACGCTTTTGGGCGTCCTAGACGCCCGCGTGGTGTTGGGAGTATTTTTAAGTCAATGATTCTATCCGCTACCAGCCCCTGCAACGCTTTGGGGCGTCCTGGACGCCCGCTAGGAGCATGGTACTGGTGATTTTCTTTTCTTTTTAAATTCTGGTAAAGATGTGTATACATGAATTTCCGCCACGAAACCAATAATATAATAATACAATGACTCAAATTTTTACCAATAAAGCAGATAGGCATGAGATAGCGAATAATGAAATGCAATGCAGGGTTAGATTGGTGCGTCCATGTTCGCGGGCAACTGTTAATGCGAGAGTGGTAGTAAAGAGGAAGAATTAACGTTCAGGGGCCAGCATAAGCTCGCTTCCGGTTTTATCAGGAGAGCTAGGTTCAGTGGCTATATAAGCCCCATCAGGATCGAATGCCGGCGATGGAGGTGGTAGTGGTAGTGGTGCAGGAATAAGCATGTCCATACCATCGTCTTCCGAAAGTGGCGCTGGAGATGCTGTTATGACACGATCAAAGAAGCTATAGTTGAAAGAATCCTCCATGTTGGGTTCCGATGAAACCTGCTGCTGAGAGGTCGGGGAAAGGGATCTATTCTTTGGGGCAGAGCGGGCAGATACGGATGATGTGACATGGGAGCCGAAAAAGGTGTAAATGAAAGGAATATGTGAATGTGTATTTGACGGGGAAGAATTGCAAGTGTGCCAATAACTTGGGCCTTCTGGGCGTAATGGACCAGAGGGTTGATTCTGTGGCGTCATTAGGCCCTCAGCAGCGGCCTGACAAGGTTTATAACGCGTTCCCAACGTATTACCACTATGGTCAATAAGTAAGTGAACAAAAAGACAGTTATCAAATACATACCATATCGCGCAGCCAACACCTTCTCTAACACAGCCACAAGCGCTTCGCATTATCTTCACGACAGCAGATCTCTCAAAATAAGAAGCATCCATAGGTATCACGGCCCCTGTAGCCTCTGCCTTTGCCACCCATACACTCTGATGCTGCCGAGAAGAAGCGCGTGTATGTACTACGGCCCCACAACCATTAAGGCGTTTGGTTGAGAAGCGTTTGTGTGAATGAGGCCTGGGCGATAGTGGAGGATAAGAGGGCAGAGGCGAAGGGGAGAATGGTGGTACATGACCAGTGAAATCCGTTGATGATTCTTCACCTCCGCAAAACAAGGTATAAATGTAAGTGTCTGGTTCTGCGGCAGCTCTCCGAGGTGGCACTCTTGACGACGACTCGTAACTTTGATCCCAAGCCTGGGACTCACCGTCGCTCGGTGGGTCTACTGGAACCCATGTGGGAGATCTGACAATGGGAGATCTGATAATGATAACTGCTGGGGGAGAACGCCTGCCACCTTCATTTTGCTGAGTGCTTAAGAGACCGTGGTCAAGCCTTATTGCACCTCGTCTTCGCAATCGTGAGGCTTCACCGGACCGAACAAGATCGGAAAGAACGATGGAATCATCGGCGTCCATTGGCTGTATTGTTTCGATGGACTGAGAACGCAAGAACTGGGGTGGCTGTCTGGAATACCGCTGAGGCATTGCAGGGGATGATACAGAGATGATGGATGTAGCGTGTAAGGAGGACGTTGCCCAAGGTTCCGCCACAGCGCGCATGGAGAATGCGTGGCTTTCGTCATTACGTCAGGCGTGGGAGTTTTAAATCATGTGTAACGGAACAAACCGCCTACTAGACGCCCCTAAGTTTGGTTCAATAGGCCTGTATCGCCGAATGACACCTCACAACGTTGGTTTATTAGTAACTTATCAGTTTCAGTCGTGATATACAGTTGTTTCAGATACTGGATACTGGTTGGGCACAGAAACAACTTGCCTCAACTATAACATTTTCCCCAGTCGCCACCTCCGTCACTTCTGGCATATCCTTGACTCTCGACAAACGCGTCGAGCTTACACATTCCTTCATCGCCAGCACCGCAGAACATCATAGGTTGTATGGCGTCATTGACGAGTATCCTCACGTAGTCCGTCTTCGTCCCCATGGATTGACATGTCAATTTCTCAACTATCATACGCGCGGAAAATGGAACCAGCTTGAAAGTAATCCACGTTCTGGTTGCGTCGGGTTTCAACGGGTCAAGTGGATGAGTCTGACGAAACAACCCGAGCGCGCTATAGATAGCAAGCATTTCGTTATCGTGAGAGAAGTCGGCATAAAATGTTCGGTCAAGGGGGAATGTCACTGGTGATGAATCAAGAGTCGAATTCGTTTGCGTGTGGTCCTCCACAGGCCGCCGAGTCAGGCGGGCAATAAGTTCGTTGACGTATCCTACGCCTTGCACACGTCCAAGAGGATGACCATATCTAAATCTTACGATGAGAATAATCTCAACAAATCAACAAACTCACCCAGTGAAGTAGTATTTGGAAATATCGGTGTTATATTCGAACGCGTCTAGGTCATTCTGAGAAAAAAGGCTACAGACCAGGCTATCTTTATTGGAAGCTACACTTTCAAATGCACAAAGAGACATCAGTGCTATGATATCACCTCTAGTGATATTGGCTCCAGGGGCTGCATTATTCAGACGATTTACGATGGAAGGTGTAAAAGCCGATTGCCATTCATCAGTCTGTGCCGACTGATGCTGAGCACTGGGACACATTTTATCGTCGAGGGTATTGTTCGACTAAAGTTGGCACATTGAGGATAGGAGCCGGAGTCGTAGTCAAAATAATACCACTCACTGACTCGGATAAAATGACCGATAGTGTGGGTGAGTAGGTGTGATGACTGGCGAAGGTAAAGCCTTGTAACATTTATTGACACGGTTCAACTACTGTACTGAGAAAAGTCGTACCTGCAGTCCAATTCAACGCAGAAACAACCACACGGTCAGAGCTCGATGCTCGTACGAAGGGCAGCCGATCTCTCGCGAGCAGATGAGCATAGCGTCTGTAATGTTCTTGACCTGCATCGAAAGACCTATCTCCACAGAGTTAGCCATACCAATCAAAAAGAGGTGTTTCGCAGTAACATACTGAGCAGCACCAAATGGGACAAGATTATCGACTCCCAGAGTCCATTCGTATTGTCGCAGAAATTGAAAATTCTCATCATTATATTTCTCAACTTGTGAGAGTTTCTCTAAGGCAGACTTCATTTCCCTCGCTCTACTCTTTGTTGGATATCGTGCACCGTGTCTTTGAAGCTGCCGCACAGTAAATATATGGTCTTTCCGGATATCATTCAAACCCATACCAGGTTGACCTAAGATTAACAACTATTTATGTTTAACATCTCATGGACGTTATTGATTCTACGCACTTGCGTTACGACGCACTCATGTGGAGGAGGCGAATATCGCAGGATAGGAAAGTAAGGAGAATAGGAACCCCACGCTTGCTGAAATTCCCGTGGTAGATTCAGAGATGATGTGGTCACATCACTTTCTGGGTAGTGTTTAGCGCATTTGGAGTTCAAAGATATCATATACAGTAGAAAAGGAGATATAATGAGAACCTTGAAGTTGATGCGACGCGAATATGGGGAGTATTCCTTCTTTTCAATGTCATCGAGCACTCCCTTGGGAGCGATAGTAGGCCGATCCAGGCGTGCTGAGTTTTCTAGAGTCATTGGATTGATAGCTAACAAAGAATCTCATCTATTATGAGAGAAAAGTAATGGGCGCTCGCTGGTCCGAAGGAACTCGTCACGGTGGCCACACTAACCTCCATTTGATTCAAGGCACGTTCCTTGAATTGCCAGTGCCGTACTAGTATCGTGGGATCTTCGTCGATTGCTGTACTTTGTTCACGTTTCCAAATGCTCCATGTGTATGTGATTCAAGAAGCAGACAAATCAGAAATGCTGATAGATGCTAAAGACAGGATAATATGTACTTGCACGAGTAACGAGAGCCGGTCACGGTTGGCCGCATCTGGTGTTCTACAAGGACTTCCTGATTGGGAATACTATTCCTATAGGATCCGCTTCAAGGTGCTGTTCTCATAGTCTCCTATAAGTAGACCGTATTGACAGGGAGACAGACGTTCCTGAACTTGTAACGACTGTTCTCAGGCAAACGGCTGCCAACTTACCTGGACAGTGGTCTTCCAGAAATATTGCACAGAATATCTACTTAAAGCGAGTGCAAGGACGATACTTGGCTGGTGTTTCTTATTTTGAGTAGTAGCTGAAGCACTAAAAGATCTTCGGTCCATATTTATACACATCCATCTCGTCTTATTTGCCAAGGTACGACATGACGGGATTTCCAAGAGCACCATGCCTGGAAGTACGGTGCTCCGACTCCTATAAGGTTCTGGAACATCCTCCCTTTAGCTAAAACAATTTTCCCACTCGCCATCCCCATTACTAGTGGCGAATTGTTGACTCTCCACAAATGCATCAACTTCACATAATCCATTTCCGGTATCACCACAGAAGCCCAGCGACTGGACAGCGTCGTTCACCAATATTCGGATATAGTTTCCAGTTTCGCCATTCGTGTTACATTGTAATTTCTCGGTTATCATCCGAGCTGAAAATGGTACCATCTGGGAAAGGATCCATGTCCGGTTCGGATTCGGCTGAGAAAGGTCAAGTGGGGAAGTCTGATTGAATAGACCAATAGCGCTATAGATAGCGATCATCTCGGTGTCGTGGGTAAAATCGGCGTAGAACGTTCGATTTAGAGGAAAAGTGATGGGAGATGAGTCAAGGGTAGAGTTAGTTTGCGTTTCGTCTTGGACTGGTTCATCGGTCAGCCGAGCTATTAATTCGTTCACATAGCCCACACCCTGAACAGGACCTAGCTCTTGACCGTAACTTAAAAATGACATCTGTTTTTAAATTTGTTATCCGTCAGAAATGAACTGACACAGCTTACCCAGTTCCATAATAATCACCAACGTCGCCATAATACTCGTACGAAGCCCATTCATCCGTTGTGAATATATTACAGAATGGGCTTGGTGCTTCGTTAGCAACAGTTTCGAAAGGACACAAGCTCATGAGATTGGCTATATCATCAAGAGAAAGGTCGGCGCCAGGGGCATCAGTGTTCAGGCGATCAGCTATCGACGGTGCGAAAACTGACAACCATGCGGCCGTCTGGTTGTCCGAGTTACCAGCATTTGTACACATATTGTCATCTAGGGTATCATTTCCCTACACGGGCGGAGATCAGGATATATTTACCTTGATTGAAGTTTTGAGGTACAAACCGATTCACTTATAATGACTGACAGCACAGGAGAGAATTGTTTATCACTGGCAGCAGCAAATCCTACGAAACGGGTATGAGCGATAGGTCGAAAGAGGCCATTGTATTAACTACCTGCGGTCCAATTAAGGGCTGACATTACCACCCGCTCCGAATCCGATGCTCGAACAAACGGGAGTTCAGAACCACTAATGAGACCGGAGTACCGGGCATAATGTAACTGGCCGGCATCATACGACCTACGATAGAAAGCGACTGTAAGATATGCGAGTTTATACCGCAATTTATAACTTACTGGGCAGCACCATACGGAACAAGGTCGCTTTTACCAAGGTCATAAGTAAAGTTTTTCACGAACTCTAGCGGAGAGCTGAAGTTACTGGCCCCTTGAAGCTGCTTGACACTTTTCTTAATGGATTTTCCGTCAGAGGACGTGGGGTAGCGAGCGCCATGGCGTTGTAACTGGATAGGCCATCTCAGCGACCAGCGACAAATGTAAGGCAGTTCAATTTGAAATGATATACCAGATTAACCTAAGATATTCGATAAGTTTGTCAACTGAATCACTGGAATCGAAGCCGGGAACTTACTTGAGTGACAGAACAGCCGTCAGGCGGGGCCTGATAAGTATCGACAGGAAAGTAAGGAGAATATTGAGCCCAAGATTGCTCCATGCTCTGGGGAAACCCGAGCGAAGGTGTCGTCAAGTTGATAGTAGCGGCAGTGGCAAAGCCACTATACGCCAAGCCTAGGTAAGGTACGAGGGAAAGATACATTTTCTCCTATCGTGGTCGTCTGAAGACTGGGTTGTGATCCAAATGAAAACTTAGACGCTCTTAAGTATAGACGACGGATAGCCACTTAAACGCAGCAAGACGTTTGCCGCCAGTACATCACGGGCAAAAGACGACCCAGAAAGAGCGACTGTATCGTAAGTTGCGGAAATACTAGTCAGGAACGCACTGATGCAGTGACAAGCGGATCTCGAGGGACACATCTCGACACCCTCAGACACATGAGGTAGCTGCTTGCCGAGAACTACCAGCCCTTTGGAGGCTTCTCCGAATCTACCGTTTAACGTGGCTTATCAGATTTACCGATGGAAGAATCGAGTAATTGACTAGAACAGCTTTGCCCATCACGGGGATTAGATTGCTAAAGAATAACGATTGCGTTGCCTCGCCCTCGCCGCACGGTGAAGATAATTTTGACCGTGAATGTGAGGTATGTATCTGTGCTGTCCAATGTTGCCAGATGAGAACAGCATCTCGAGCGTAAGTTTTATCACATACCAATACATGGCTAGACTCAAAGTTCTTTAGAAGCACAAATTGTTCCAGGTGTTTCCTTGTGACTTCGCGATAGATATCTTTTCGCATGCTACATAGCTTTCAATATATAAATGTCGCCCGTGCCAGGCGCACGTGTGTTAGACCGGCCGAGTTGCACATGATTCCTACGGCTGACGCCCTTTCGATGTGCTGGATGTGGTAGATTTGACAGGTCCATCAAGAGCTGAGGCAATTTGTACTACAAAATCGATTGATGTTGAGTGACATGACATCTTCGTAAGCAGAAAAGTTTGATTCTCAGACCTGTCAAGACCATCGAACACAAACCAGATATTGTTCCACGGGCTATGACCATCTACAGTAGACCAATTGTGGGATCCATTATCGGAAGTATCACACGTAGAAGGTCTGGATAGAATGTTTAACATATCCCCGTGGAATCAGCTACAACTTTTGAGGTGTTGGCCGCTACTGTGACCGCGGCTAAAGTAGGCAGCGCCGTAAATCGATGAGAATGGTGTGTTGGGCGCCAGGTCGTACGATAAGGCGAAAATGGGAGTACAGTTTAGAGAACGAGTAATCGCAGGGAAGAGCGGCCTAGCAGACTATAGATGGTAACTGAAATAAACCTGTGGGGGCAAAACCGTAATAGGTCAGGCTGAGGGATCACGCAGAATAGTCGCTCACCTAAGGGAATGCAAAGGACCAAGGCTATAGTTGGGGAAGCTTCCCTCTTTAATCTTCCTTTGGCGGTGTGATGAATAATAGTCCTTAGCCATGGTTGTATACGTGTTTTCTAACTGCAAGAGCGCTGAGCTGTGTATAGTAAGACGCCACGTTTTCCAAGGTCACGATAGGTGGCTGTGATGCTCTACCCTCAATATCACTCGTCACCACGACCTTCCAAATTTATAGAAAAGGTGAACTGGCCCGCTCAGTATGTTGTTTGATGTCAACGTGAGTGAAGTATGAATCAACGGTTTTGATACATTGGATACTGAACACTCTTGGATCAGCGAAAACTGTTTTCTCGCTCAGACCGCGTGAAAGGCGCTGACTTTCACCCAACGGAGCCCTGGCTACTGACAGGTCTCTATAATGGTTCGGTGAACATATACAATCACGAGACTGGCGCCTTGATTAAGACCTTTGAGGTTTCAACGGTCCCTGTACGCTGTGTCAAGTTTATTGCACGCAAAAACTGGTTTGTGGCCGGTTCGGACGACTTCCAGCTTCGCGTCTTCAACTACAACACTCACGAGAAGGTCGCTGCATTCGAGGCTCATCCCGACTACATTCGATGCCTTACCGTTCATCCTACCGCAAGCATCGTGCTTACCGGAAGTGATGATATGACGATCAAGGCCTGGGACTGGGACAAACAATGGAAGTGCATTCAAGTGAGTGTCATATGATCTGTATTTATGGATTCACCTGATATCTTCCAAAAGATCTACGAAGGACATACGCACTATATAATGAACATTACTTTCAATCCCAAAGATGCAAATACCTTTGCGTCCGCATGTCTTGACCGAACTGTTAAGATGTGGTCTCTTGGTTCTCCTAGTGCCAATTTCACCATGGATGCTCATGATAAAGGCGTGAATTATGTCGATTTCTATCCTGGATCAGACAAGCCTTACCTTGTGACCACGGGTGACGACAAAACCATCAAGATTTGGGACTATCTCAGCAAAAGTTGCGTGCAGACTATGGAGGGTCATACGAATAACCCTTCGTTTGCTGTTTTCCATCCGAATCTGCCCATCATAATCAGTGGAAGTGAAGATGGGACAGTGAAAATCTGGAATGGTGGTACATATCGGTTGGAGAACACCTTAAGCTATGCGCTGGAGCGTGCTTGGTGCGTATCCCTACGCAAAGACGCGAACGAAGTTGCGGTTGGTTTTGATGAAGGAATTGTCGTTATCAAGGTTCGTTTACCTCAAAATCTGTCATCTGATATCGTGCATTCATGCTACTTATCTAGCTCGGTCGTGACGAACCCACATTTAGCATGGACCCGTCTGGGAAACTCATATACACCCGTAACCAAGAGGTCCTATCAGGAAACCTTCAAACATTGCAAGACGACACTACGCCAGAAGGCACTCGCATACCCCTCTCAATCAAAGAAATAGGCAACACTGAAATCTTTGCTACGTCTCTCATTCACTCGCCAAATGGTCGTTTTGTAACCGTGGTTGGAGATGGAGAGTATATCATTTATACCGCGCTAGCGTGGCGCAACAAATCGTTCGGCAATGGTATATCATTTGCTTGGGCAAACGATTCCAATACATATGCGGTGTTAGAAACCAGAGTCAAATTAAGGGTGTATAAAAACTTCAAAGAACGAGGCAGCCCTTTGATGAAAGGAGTCGGTAGTTGGTCTGTGGAGTCCCTTCATGGTGGTCCACTCTTGGGTGCCAGAGGCAAAGGATTTGTGCTATTTTGGGATTGGGAGACTGGAGAGGTTGTGCGAAGAATAGACGTTGATGCCAAAAATGTGAGCGTCGTTTCTTTGTTCTCTTTCGTAAATCTCATGTCTTGCGCCTCGTAGATATTCTGGTCAGGCACAGGCTCGCTAGTTGCTATCACCTCTGATGACTCTTTCTATGTGCTCCGTTTTGATCGTGATGCATACAATGCAAAATTAGAGGAAGGGGCCGAAGTCACTGACGAGGGTATTGAGGAGGCCTTTGAGGTCGTCGCAGAAATTCCGGACAAGTGTGTTTATCTTCGATATTATCCTTCTGCGGCTAACATCGCTACAGTGTCAAAACAGCCAAGTGGATAGGCGACTGCTTCATTTACACCACCGTTGGCAACAGATTAAACTATTTCGTTGGTAGTGAATCATATACAATTAGCCCCTCAGACACGTACGTCTACTTTAATCGAACAGATAACTTATACTCACCATGTCCTCCCAGATCCATGTATATACTAGGCTATATTCCATCACACAACCGAGTGTATCTTGCAGACAAGGACATGAAAATATTCAGTTATTCTCTGTCTTTGAGCGTCGTGGAATATCAAACGGCCGTCCTGCGTGGTGACATGGATGGTGCTGCAGAGATATTGCCAACTCTTCCCAAGGAACAATTGAATAAAGTCGCTCGCTTCTTAGAGCTAAGAGGTCAGTGATTCGTAGCTTACTCGCATGATTGCTGCGTTGAAACCAAAAATCGTAGATATGAAGGAGCTCGCCCTACAGGTCACTACAGACCCCGATCACAAGTTTGACCTATCGCTCCAGCTTGACGATCTTGATTCGGCATTGGAAATTGCTCGTTCAGTGCCTGATGTAGAGGCCGAAGCAAAATGGAAAGCTCTCGGTGATCGAGCGCTAGCGGTGTGGAGGTTTGACCTTGCACGCGAAGCCTTCGAGAAAGCGGGTGACATCAATGCACTTATGCTCTTGTTGCTTTCAACCGGCGATCGAGATGGTCTTCAGAAACTTGCTGTCATGGCCGGTGGGTCGATTTCGTGCTTACGCATCCGATTTTATTTGCTGATCGGGACCTTTCCAGAACAAAAGGGCGCGAACAATCTTGCATTTGCAACGCTCTTCCAGCTTGGGGATGCCAAGTCATGTGTCGACCTTTTGCTGAAGACGAATCGCACGCCTGAAGCTGCATTGTTTGCACGGACATACGCACCGAGGTTTGTTCTCAACTAAGTTTCTAGAAAACGGTGGTAGTTGATCTGGATTTGTCACAGCGAAGTGCCAAAGATTGTGGACACATGGCGTGAAGAGCTGAAAACTAAAAATAGGCCGAAGATTGCTGCTGCGATTGCCCATCCTTCAGAAAACACAGGGCTATTCGAGGAGGGGTGGGAAGAGGCATTGAGCCGTGAGGTAGATACACGATCAACCATACTTCCAAACGGCACTCTCGGTGCGTATATTCTCACACGACATCACGAGGCGTGCTGATTGCTGTGCTATGGGCAGTGACACCGGGTGAAGCGCCCTCTCCGAGTGATGATGGTATTTTAGTAGACGCATGACCTCGCATGACCCTGTATTACCTCGAGATTGAGACATTTTGTGATCTACTTATAGCACAGTTTTCTTTTTTGATCTGCTGCGCAAAAAAGTCTAATTCCTGTCATCATACCTCGATCCTTCTGTGCGCTACGTCTGTGCTGAGCTCTTGATCGTGCACCAATGGATACTCCTGACCTGCAAAATCGCTGGGCAATTCAATGGCTACCATGTATACCGGGCGGTTTCACGGCGACCTGGGCCTAGGCCGAATTGCGAGCCGAAAGAAGAGAGGCCAAGACAGGCTGGCACCACCAAGCTTGTAATTTGTTTTGTCTAGCTTTGTTCAGCCTCGTTTCATTCGCTCGCAGCTGCAACCTGCGACAGCCAGTCAGCTTTTCTCGTTCTTTCCTCTCTTTCCTGCAATTTTCTCTCTAAAAGTCTCTCATTTCTGGCCCAATGGCCTCAGCATCGGCCTCGCTATCCACCCATGCTGTTAGTTCCGGTGACCTCGTCCACCTTGTTTCTTCGTCGTCGTCTGCGATAGTCTATCCATCCGACGACGTTATCCTCACCGTTCTCAACACTCGCTTTCGCGCTGATTTACCTTACACAAGAATTGGGACAACCAATCTTTTAGTCGTTAACCCGTACAAAACACTAGCCAATGTCAACGACATCAACGCGAAGGAGTATGAGGAGCGGTGTTACAAAGACACTAGTCTACCTCTCGTGGATGCTTCCAAATCCCTTCAACCTCATGTATATGAGCTTGCAGCGAAGATGTATCTTCTTATGAGACGAAGAAACGAGTCGCAGTCTGTTCTGACCAGGTAGATTTCCAATGTTACCCAGCTCCACTCGACGACTGATCACTTTGCAGGGGTATTACAGGTTCCGGAAAATCCTCTAGCAGTCGCTTGATTCTGAACCAGCTCCTTCGACTGTCGGCTCACTCGAAGAAGGAGTTGAGAGTCGCAGATCAGGTGAAGGCATTGGGACCTCTTCTCGACGCGTTCGGAAATGTGAAAACTCTCATGAATCCAAATGCATCGCGTCACAGCCGTTATCTCGAGCTCCATTTCAATGACCGTGGTCGCATCGAATCTGCGAAAGTCCTTGCATTTGGACTGGACAAATCTCGGCTTGTCCGACTTTCACACGAGGAACGCTCTTACCACGTTTTTTATCAATTCTTAGCTGGTGCTACTCCAGAGGAACGGGATATTTTCAACCTTGAAGACCCATCTGATTATGCGCTTCTCGCTTCCTCTGGGTGCTATCGCCTTCCCTCTGGTCCATTTAGCGATGATGCCATCTCTATGGAAGAGCTTCGCGCGGCTATGAAAACTCTAGGCTTCAAGTCTAAACATATGACGTCCATATTCACTCTTCTCGTGGTCATTCTCCTGCTCGGGAATCTGCAATTCACCGAAGCAGATGCTAGAGACGTATCCGCTTACGTGGCAAACACTCAAGTATTAGACCAAATCGCACGTTTGTTGGGCGTGTCTTCAGAGGACCTCACTCAGACGCTCACCAACAAGACGAATTACGTTCGTAAGGAACTATACACCGTGTTGCTCAATGCCGAACAGAGCGCTGCCCAACGTGATTCATTTGTACGCGACCTATATGCCATTCTCTTTGCTTTTGTGGTCGAGACAGCCAATCACAAGATTGTATCAGCAAACAAGGATGTACTTCCTTCCACTCAGATACTCATGTTTGATCAGCCTGGATTCCAGACTCGTGGACCTACTGGAACAGGCTCTATGGCGTTTACCGGTTCTGCACCTTTGGTTTCTGCTTATGGTCAAAATGCATTCGACGAATTTGCTATCAACTTTGCTGATGAAATGGTACACTCATATGTGTTGCGGAATACTTTCGAAGATTCTGTGGGGTATAACGGCCATATCACTGGTGATGGTGCCCCCTTACCCGCGGTTACTATCATGGACAATTCGGCGTGCGTCGAACTATTGAGAGGTGCGCAGCTGAGTGAGAAGGCTACTCGCAAGCCAGGAGGTCTCATAGGGCTCACAAGCAAAGCCTGTTCGGCTTTCAAGTCTGGAAAAGCAGGGGAAAACAAAGACGAGGATTTGTTGCAGGACCTCGTCGCTAAGCTCGGTGTTCATACATCATTTGTGGCCAGTCCCAGCATTGGAGGTGCTAACGAGAGAAATCTCTTTGGTATCAACCATTATGCTGGCAATTGCTCGTACGACATCACCGATTTCATCGAAAAAGATTCTGATCTGCTCGATTGCGCATTTGTCACGTTGCTGCGCAATTCTACCGACTCCTTTGTATCCAAGCTTGTTTCCGGTCCTTCTTTGGCAGTAGAGAGACACTCAAAAGATGAGGCCATAATCGTTCAAGCTCAGGTATCTTCTCGACCACTGCGCCAACCCACACCGATTCCAGCTCGTTCTCCTGTGATAAATAAGGAAGAGCACGCTAGACTTGATCCGACCAAAATATACACAGTTACTACACAAATGAACCACACCCTATCAGAGATTTTCTCCAGTCTCGATCGTACCCGCTTATGGACTATATCCTGTATTCGTCCCAACGATTCTAGCTCTCCCAACTCTTTCGACAAGCGACGAGTGAAGGCACAAGTTCGGTCCCTTCTTATACCTGATTTGGTGGCCAAACGCAGCGTTGAGTACGTTGCAGATCTTGAGTTATCTGAGTTCTGCGACAGGTATGTCCCAACCATGCGAGGCTCCGAGCAAGAGCGAATACGCCAATGCGCGGCTGCGAACGGTTGGAGAGACGGGGTCGATTTCGTTGTTGGGCATAGGATGATATGGGTGTCATATAGTGCTTGGAAAATGGTCGAAGATGGTCTAAGAGTTGTCGAGAAAGAGCAACGAAGAGCCTTGCGTGACGGGGGAGATGACGAGGAAAGCATGGCTGACGATGGGACGGAGTACACCCATACGGAAGGTGGTGGCGGAGGTAATGGGAGCTTTTACAATGAGAGCCACGACAATTTGCTGGTTGCTCGTAGGGGTAGCAATGGCTCTCAATACCGTGAAGCTAACCAAAGCGCTGCCTACGGTCTGAACGGTCCTTCGACGCCTGCTGCAGGAGCTCCTGCTTATAGCGATGCCGACGACGGATGGGGTTCGGAGTGGGATAAGAAAGGCGAAGCTGGTGACAGAACACCCCCGTTTCTTTCCAAGGAAGGAGGCATGATAGTCAATCCAGCTCCTGCTGCTGTAGAGGAGATGCCCACCAGTCGCGCCCGTCGCATGTGGCTTTATCTGGTCTGGGGTTTCACTGGACTGATACCTTCTTTCGTTCTCCATCACGTAGGACGCATGAAGCGACCTGATATCCGACTAGCATGGCGAGAAAAGGTCACGATTTTCATGCTCATCTTCCTCATGAACGTGCTTGTCATCTTCTACATCGTGGAATTTGGTCGTCTCCTTTGTCCTAATTTCGACAAGGTTTGGTCTACAAATGAAGTCGCTCAGCATACAGGGAACAGTGATTATTGGGTGGCTATTCAAGGTCAAGTTTATGATGTTTCGAATTTCATCCATGGCGACCACAGTGATATATCCGGTATAGCAAGTAACTCAGTAGATACCTTGGATCAGCTTGCTGGGCAGGAATTGACAGACTACTTCCCTCCGCCGTTGATACTGGCTTGCCCGGGCCTTGTTTCACAACCGACTCTTCAACTAACATACAAAAACTTCACCCCAACCGTACAAACGGCAATGCACAATTCCGGTGCAACGCAGTCCGCACAGAATACCTTACTAGATCAATCTGACTGGTATACTAGCGTTTTCCTCCCGAAGATTAAGCAATACCGCAAAGGTCCTTTAGTTTGGGACACTAATGTTATCGCTTCTCAGGCCCAGGATCAAAATATTCAGCGGTATGATTCTTTTACCGGTTATTCAGTGTTTGTACTGAACCTTTACTAGGCTGTGGGCTATCTGGGAAGGAAGCATTTACGACCTAACGGATTACGTCAATACTGTCACCATCAATCAAGGTGCTACCAATCTATATCAATTTTTGGACAACAATGTCGCATCAGTTTTCAAGCAACAGGCGGGTCAAGATGTCACTAGTTCTCTGAACCAAGTGCTCGCTGGCATGGATCCTAATACGGCTGCGCAAAATGTAAATTGCCTCAAGAATATGTTTTATCTTGGTGAGACGGATTTCCGCAAGACTGCAAGGTGCCAAGTACAAAACTACTTGCTGTTGGTTTTCACGAGTATTCTATGTGCCTCAATTGCTTTGAAATGTCGGTGGTTTACATTTGTATTGTCTTACTATCTATCTAACCTTTTCCCTTAGTTCTTTCTGCCTTGCAACTTACCGGAAAACGATCCCCGGAAATGCTCGATAAATTCGTCCTTTGTCAGGTCCCATGTTACACCGAAAGTGAAGATTCGCTTCGCCGGACTATTGATTCATTGGCCGCTCTGAACTACGACGACAAACGAAAGCTGATGTTCATTATCTGCGACGGTAACATCATCGGTAGTGGAAACGATAGGACGACTCCCCGTATCGTGTTGGATATACTTGGAGTTGATCCCAAGCTTGATCCCGAGCCGCTTCTCTTCAAATCCATTGGCGAAGGCTCGAAGCAGCTGAATTATGGCAAGGTATATTCCGGTTTGTATGAGTTCGAAGGTCACGTCGTGCCGTAAGTGAGTTTTGGTCAATCGTGACATTATTTGTAACACGGTATCTAGATACATGGTCGTTGTAAAAGTAGGAAAGCCCACGGAGCGCTCAAAGCCAGGAAACCGAGGAAAACGTGACAGTCAAATACTATTGATGCACTATCTCAATCGAGTCCATTTCGATGCTCCGATGTCGCCACTGGAATTGGAGATTTACCACCAGATGAGGAATGTTATCGGCATTGATCCTGCCTTCTACGAATATATCTTCACCATAGATGCTGACACAGTGAATATTTAACCATTTCCTCGTCCTGTTAATTGCTAACGGTTTTACAGAGTGTTACACCAGACTCTTTGAATCGTCTAGTGGCTTGTGCTGCAGATGATTCCAGCATCATAGGCATATGTGGCGAGACTAAATTGATGAATGAGGAAGGATCCTGGTGGACTATGATTCAGGTAGGGTCCGTCTTGCCCATGGTTGACCCCCATTAACGCAACATACTGTAGGTCTACGAGTATTACATATCCCATCATCTCTCTAAGGCATTCGAGAGCTTGTTTGGATCAGTGTCATGTCTCCCTGGATGTTTCTCTCTTTATCGAATCCGTACCGCTGATAAGGGTAGACCGATCATCATATCCAATCGTATCATTGACGAGTATGCTGAGGGGAACGTCGACACCCTACACAAGAAGAACCTATTTTCTCTGGGTGAAGATCGCTTTTTGACGACTTTGTTGCTCAAACATTTCCCAACCTTCAAGACGAAATTTTCTCCTGATGCCGTTGCACATACTATGGCTCCCGAGTCTTGGCGAGTTTTATTCTCTCAGCGTCGGCGATGGATCAATTCTACCGTTCACAACTTGTGCGAATTAATATTGTTACCTGAGCTCTGCGGGTTCTGCTGTTTCTCCATGCGCTTCTTTGTCTTTATTGATCTTTTGGGCACTATCGTACGTATTTTATTCTTCTTATATCGCCATTCCTGAACCTGTGATCTAGATATTACCGGCCACTGTGGTATATGTAAGCTTTTTCTCTCGATTTCCTTCCTGGTTTAATCAAGCTCATCAATGATACGTGATAGTTGGTTTACCTGGTGGTCGTCGTTGCTACTGGTAATGCGGCATTGCCCATCATTTCCATTATCATGCTAGGAATCACCTATGGGTTACAAGTGAGTGTCAAAGATTGATATCAAAACGCACCTATTAATGGTGCACAGGCCTTGATTTTCATCATCAAACGAGAATTCATGTTAGTTGGCTGGATGGTAGTGTACCTCATTTCGTAGGTTTCCCTCGACTTGCTATTTTTCATTCTTATATAGTTTTATTACAGTTATCCGGTGTACAGTCTATTTCTGCCCGTCTATTCCTTCTGGTGCATGGATGACTTTACATGGGGTAATACTCGTGTTGTCATCGGTGAGGGCGGGAACAAGAAGGTCGTTATGAACGAGGATGAAAGATTTGACGAGTCCATGATTCCTCTCAAGAAATTTAGTGGTGAGCGCAGAGCTGGATGTGAATTAATGTAAACTTATATTCGCCAAAGAATACGAAGCTGAAGCTTGGGAGACCGGGTCTCATCGATCTCAGGAAACTGGTTATAGCAAACCTCAGTCACGATTCCTTCCTTCACGCAAAGGGTCACCCCACAGCTTCCATCCTTCAGAAGGAGGCGATTATTATCGAGATACCAATCTAACCTTGAGCAACACGTCGAACCCCAATATCCGCCTACCGCACATGGCCAACTCACAGCATAGCCACGGGTCTCGACACGGCGGTTCGCAATATGGTGGGCAGCCTCCCGTCTCCCAATACGGGCTCCCCCAGATACCATTTATGCCATTCAGCGGAGGTCCTGGTTCTGCGGCTGGTTCCGACTATGGCGGACAAGTACCTATACACATGCCTCCGATGGGATACCAACACACTGGTAGTATGTATGGGATGATGCCTGTGGATCCACGTACGACGGTGATGACGAATATGAACATGTTCACTGGATCGGGTTCACAAACTGGTGGATATGGAGCTTTGCCTGCGATAGGAGATGCGCGACCGATATCAACATTTTCCATGGCAACATCTGTTAATCCTTTCGCGGGTCCAAGCATGATTACGGATCCAACAGATGACGACTTATTCAATGCATTGCGAAACTATTTGAGCACTCAGGATCTAATGACAGTCACGAAGAAGTAAGTCCGCCATCGTTCCAGTACAGTAAAATAAATACTCACAAGATTCTCAGGACTGCACGCGAGGCGATCATGGCTCGTTTCCCCAAGGCTGACTTGACATTAAGAAAAGACTTCTTAAATCAGTCGATAGACAAAATCCTTTCCCAGTCGTAGAGGGTAATCCCATTACAAGATCTTATCTTCTTTTTTTCTTCTTCTATGAGTAGAGCCTGAAAACTTGCCCTGGACTTGCCCTGAACTTTTAAACCTTATTCATCTTCTTCACGTTGAACTGCACTTTCCTTTGTTATCGATCTTTTAGTCAACTAGCTTTCGCATTTCCAATTTCAGCATCCTTCGCTCCTCAGGTCAATTTAACGTTGTAATAGATTTCTTGGACACGTTCGGTACGGACGATAGCATTATCTTACTACTATAATCTCCCTGGATAGGGGACTGATACATCCAGGAGTTGGTGTATCTTTTCATATACAATCTCAAAATTTTACCTTAATCCGATGCAGGTGAACACAATACTCAACCACCTCATGCGTTACTTCAGAGACGGTGGCTAGGATCTGTCTCTGGTGAATTCTAGGGTCTTGCCTCACCATATATGTGATGTTCTACTCAGGGAGATATCGATGCACAGTAAGAACATGATTTCAAGTACTAACAAGTTACTAAACTGCTAAAGCCACGAACAGGGCGTATCGCGAGGTGTACAATCAGAGATTGAAACAGGTGATAGAAGACTCAACCTACCATAGCTCAAGGAGAGACGTCTAAGTACATGTTTAAGTCAGTGATGTACAGTTAATCCCAACGGGACCATCAGGGTCTGAAGGACAACCTTCATACGGGAATACAGCGTCAGCTTGATGAGAGCGAGTATACAAATGTTAGTACACTCACTATTAAGGCTTTCGCAACAAAGCGAATACTGAGAACTGGGAGATGAAACGCAAGTAGTAAGGAATAAGACGTTAAAGAGAATAAACAAACTATTCAGCATACCAGGAGATGGTGGTATCGCACAAAGAGCCTATGGGTGTGGTGGCAGGTTCAGTAAAGCCGCAGATGTTTTCCCAGACATATGAGTTGTCGCTATATGGTTCAAGAGAGGTGCAACAGAGATAATTGGGTTGCGAGGCAGGACATTGCGCTCGTGAAAGTGGAGAGACTGCTACCAAGGCAACCAGAACTGGTGCCAAAAGATTTAAAACCATGGTCTATACCGTGCTGAGTCTGCAGGTTGTTTACGCGGGTTAGTATTAGAGGATAGCATACCCTTTATACTGCTTGAACGTATACAGTGCCTCAGTCAAGGTACATTCCAGACTGTACGGAAGTCCGTCCGTCAGATACGGGTACATGATGAAGTGACCCCCTGCATGCTGTCGTTTCAAATCGTGATATCTGGCTCAGGAGAAAGGCCAGACCAGGGGTGACTACCAGACAGGGACCTACCTGCTTTCGATGACCATCACGGTCGGTGTACATAAACTTCGCACGGTACCGCAAATGGGAATTGCTTTCCGAACTAAACATACCCGCAGAGTCTGCCCAAAGGCGCGCGTTTCAAGTTCAATGTCCTAATGTCCTCAGAATCAGCCCATGTCTCAGAGAACGAAGATTCCAGCAACCAAGACGAACATGAGGGCTCCGAATCCCTTTCAGAACACGGAAGCGAGGATCATGTGTCGCATGCTAATGGTGCTGCAATCGTCAAGGACTCACACGAACTGGAGAAGATAGAAGCAGAGCAACACGAGTCAGACTTCTCTGATGAACAAGAGGGTAGCGACGGCGAGGAGACAGGAAAGGAAGGTCAGGAGGACGAACGCTCAAGTGAATATGACGAGGACGAGGACGACGAAGATGACGACGACGACGACGACGAGCCAGCTCTCAAATACGAGCGAATTGGCGGTTCCCTCAACGACTTGCTTAAAAAGGATTCAGCTTCGGCCATGGCCATATCAAATAAGCTGCTGGTAATATGCTCACATTATAACATGAGCCACGAGACTAATTCACTGGCGTTCTTGTTTAGGCACTCGGAACGCACAGCGGTATCGTCCATATACTGGACTTGACGGGCAAGCGAATCAAGTCATTTAAGCCTCACCAGGCTTCCGTTTGTGACATGTCCTTGGATGCGTCCGCAGATTTTGTCGCAACTGCTTCCATGGACGGTGATTAGAGCTATTATGTTCAAATGAATCCTTTTGCTAATAATTTGTGACATCAGGACAGGTGGTTATCCACTCGTTGACTACACCAGAATCTTATGCATTTGATCTGAAACGCCCCATGCGGACAGTAGCTTTAGACCCCGAGTTCGCTAGGCGAAATAGTAGGGCGTTTGTTTGTGGCGGAATGGCTGGCTCTCTTGTTTTGCGCGAGAAAGGCTGGCTTGGCCACAAGGAGACCGTCCTGCATTCAGGAGAAGGACCTATTTGGCATGTGCGCTGGAGAGATCACCTAATAGCATGGGCCAATGATTTGGTAAGAGGATTGCCACAGCCCTGTCTTACACTGGTAACTGACTATCAGTCATGCTTCCCTACAGGGAGTCAAAATTTACGACACTGTCTCTCAGTCACGAATCACTTTCATCGATCGCCCTGCAGGTAGTCCAAGGGCAGATCTATTCAAATGTACTCTCCACTGGCAGGACGACTCTACTATTCTCATAGGATGGGCAGATTACATCAAAGTAGCGCGTATTAGAACTCGACCCCGCAATACCACCACCTCCACTACGGCTAGCCTCCCATCGCTCATCGTAGAGATCACAGCTACTTTCCAGCTTGATTGCATGATATCCGGGATTGTCCCGCACCCTATGCCTTCTCCTGGCGCCCCTAAAACCAATGGTTCATCGGCGGTACCACCTGCTCTAACTACTTTTTTGATCCTCGCTTACGAACCACCCGATACCTCGTTTCTATCCGGCAACGAGATGACCGAGGATCGGGCCCAGCAGGCTCGAAAAGCTGCTGAACGTCCGGAATTGCGAATTATTTCAAGGGCAGGGGAAGAGCTTGCAGCGGATGCTCTTAGTATCTCGAGCTTCCAATCTTGGAGTTGCAACGATTACGTTCTCGGGGAATTGGAAGACGAGAAGAACCGTAGGTGCTATGTGGTATTGAGTCCAAAGGATATCGTTATTGTGCGTTCGAGAGACCGCAGAGATCACATTGCCTGGTTAGTTGAACGGAAGCGCTATGAAGAAGCACTTGAGGAACTCGAACACTTGGGCGAAGATGGTCCTGCGGCTGAGGCACATGGGCCACCAGTCGATGCCACAGAAATTGGTGAACGCTACATCAGGCACCTAGTAGGCGAAGGTCAGTGATATTAGTGCAATACTTTCCTTCACCCGCTTAGTGTGATATATAGGTGATTTTGTCAAGGCCGCTAGACTATGTCCAAAAGTCTGTGGCCAAGACACTAAACGGTGGGAAGATTGGATATTTGTCTTTGCGCAGAATACGCAACTACAAGTAAGTTCCTGTGACCTTGTATTTTGGAAACAGAGCCAATAACCAGTTTGTCAGGCTATTACCCCGTATGTTCCTACCGAGTCTCCTCGGCTAAGCCATTTGGTGTACGAAATGGTTCTTGGGCACTTCTTAACACACGACAAACATGTGAGTTTCTTAACTTGACAGAATTACGCGACGATTCAAAGTGATGTTCTTGATTAGGCCCTTCTGCAAATGATCAAAGATTGGCCACGGGAAATATATGACATTCATGCTGTCATAGTTGCTGTTCAATCTGAGCTTGATCGCTTACCTTCATCTTCCTCGACGAGCACAAGCGCACCTGATTCCGTATTGCTTATGGAATGCTTGGCCGAACTGTAAGTCTTAATAGGTACAAGGCAAGTTTCTTAATAACAGGATTATCATATCTCCTTAGATTTACTGCCAACCGTCAACCTGGAAAAGCTTTACCTTTCTTCCTTCGCCTTCGTCGCTCCAATGTCTTTGATTTAATCCGAGAACATAACCTCTTTACCGATGTCCAAGATCAAGCGCTTTTACTGGTAGAGTTCGATTACGAACTCATAGAAAAACGTCGAAAAGAAGGTGAAGAGGTAGACCCCGAACAAAGCGACGCTATTACTTTACTGGTCGATCACACACATTCCATACCTGTCCGTTCTCCTGCATTTCATATCATTTGATACTCAATGGTGGCGGTGATTGTATCATCAGGTTGCACGCGTGGTGAAACAACTACAAAGTCGGCAATATTATCTCTTCCTCTATCTGGACGCCCTATTCGCGAAAGACCCTCACTTAGCATTTGATTTTGCTGACCTACAAGTAAGCTTGTATTATTTTGTCATGCGTGGCTTTAGTTTGACATACATGTTTACAGGTAACGCTCTATGCTGAATATGCTACTCCACGGCTGATCGACTATCTGCGAGCGAGTAGTTACTATAATCTAGAGGCGGTATGTCACCTTTGATACCACGCTCAAAGCTGTTCTGATATGTACCAGGCATACAATGTTTGCAAAGGCCGAGACCTTGTACCTGAGATGGTATTTTTGTTGGGCCGTATGGGTAATAACAAGAAAGCGTTGACACTCATTATCGAACGCCTGGGAGATGTACACCGCGTAAGGCTTTTAATCGCTGTTAGTCCATTATCCACTTGCTAATCGACATACAGGCCATCGAATTTGCTAAAGAACAAAGTGATGATGACCTTTGGGAAGATCTACTGAAGTACTCGGAGACCCGACCTGGTCAGTCAATATTCTCTAACATAACAAGACAACTATTTGAACATATTTTTCAGCATTTATCCGTGGCTTACTCGAGAACGTTGGCGCTGAGATCGATCCAATTCGCTTGATTCGACGCATCAAGAATGGATTAGAGATACCTGGACTGAAAGAGGCCTTGATCAAGATTCTCCACGACTTTCATTTGCAAATCTCGCTACTGGAAGGTTGTCAAACAATCTTAAACGGCGATAGTTCTGATCTCGCAAAGACACGACAAAAGGGCCAAACAGGGGGCTTTTTCGTCACAGGCACGTATTATTTCAGTTCACCTGGGCAGATGGATCTGACTAGTTAGTAGCTAAGAACACTTGTCCAATGTGCTCTGAATTATTATTACGGACGCCTCAAGATCTTCTGCTACTCTTCCTATGTCGCCATGTAGCTCACGCCTGTTGCGTTGCTGGCACAGAAGACTTACCTGAACAGCCAGACCCAGGTCTACTGAGAGTTGGATTGGTGGATCCTGTGGGGGTTGGGATGAGCGGCAAAATTGCCTTGTGAGTAATCCATTGGAAGATAATGTTACCTTACTTAACACTTCTTCAGTGCTTCTGTTGTACGAGCCAAAGTACACCAAGGGTGTCCAGTGTGTCACAAGAAAGTTGAAGGTGATCGGATGTAGCGATCATCTATTTTTCCTCATCTCCACACAATTTCAGGTGCTGCTTTTACGCTATATACCAAAGCATATTGTATTCGTAATCCTTACAAAGGTGCTACTCGTTTTCAAGTCACTCTCGCTCAACGTGACCAGTCGCGGAAAATGGTCCTGTTGCAGCTTGCAATAAGTATCTCAAAACTTACACCTGAACTCGTCTGCAGCCGAGACTAATTTCAATACGTCATTGCACTAAGTAGAGCCACTAAGTAATTATGATTTTGATCACAGCCTTAGTCCCATGACCCAGGGTGACTGAGTTTCCATGATAAAGTTGGCACAGCTCTGGGAGATCATCCAAACTGTTCTTAACCATAGTGTGGCACTCACCATATGGTTCTGACGACACACCGTGATTGAGACATAATTATACATTCACCGCGATACCGAGTTTTGGATGCCTTCCGACATACCCCGCCGCCAGACTAATTTTCTGAAATATCATAGATTGCCACTTGACCACTTCGAATCAGCACTACCGACTCTCAAGGAAGAGTCCAGACAGTACGTATGGTCAACCGTGGGACTAGTAATGGCACACTCTAAAGGCCATTATCAGATGCATTCAGAATTTACTCAGGTACCGTAGTCACCATCCAACAGCGAAGTTTCCACGAACAAGAAGTGCAGCAGTACTGGTCCCATTATTCGTCGGACGTGCAGGAGATCTCTATGTGTTGCTCAGCCGGTCAGCATGGATCAACGTTCCACTTGAATGACGATACACTAACTTTTCGTATTCATATCAATATCTTCCTAGGCGGTCAGCAGAGTTGAGATCATATGCCGGAGACACATCCCTCCCTGGCGGGAAGGTGGAGGCACAGGACAAGACTTTGGAGGATACAGCAGTGAGTGACTAGATCAAATAAAAGTAAAAATCGGATTAATCCCAATGTTCATTGGCGTCTAGAGACGCGAGGCATTCGAAGAGGTGCGGCATGTTTGACCAGCTTCTCCAATTCTTCTGACGACAAGTCTAGGTTGGAATTGTTCAAGATAAAGAAAAAGTGCCGCTATTGTGTGTGATGGAGCCATTTCTGGCTGGAAACCAAACGATAGTAACACCGTATGTATATAATGTTCTACCAATGTGATACCACTGACCTTGATCCGCCTAGTGTCGTGGTCCTCATCCTTGATAAAACCCTTCAGGTATGTTCCAGTTTCTCTCATATTTTATAGTATTCTGATCCCACTCAAGCCCATCCTTAATGTATCAGAGGTCGCGTCTATCTTTTCGCATCCTCTTGTTTCTTTTCTTTCCTCAGACCCTCCTTTCCCATCCGAACCCGAAACTGTCGAGGTTTCATATCATACTGCTAGAGATCACACCTGGTCTAAACATGGGATTGTCCGTGTTCACAGCTTCCTCACAGGTCGCGAAGCAGGTGGCATCAAACCTGTGTTCGGGCTGACTGCGTACGTCCTTTCATTAACTGGATGATGGCCCCTAATCTCATCTGAATTCACCAATTCATATACCAATTATTAACCCTCCTCCAACCAGCAACATTCTTATACACACGGCCATGGTCGGTTATGCTCGTACTCCAGATTTCGAAGTTCAACCGCCTAGCGCCCCAAGCATGGCCAAGCAAATTGCTCATGCGATACTAAGTGGTGGTGCGTTGCGTGCAGCTTATGACGCAGAAGGGCTAGATGCAGAGCGAGCTGTAAAAGACTTGTTAAGGAGAAGATGGGTCCTTGGTGGATTTAGCAAGGTGGGCCGAGAAAGAAGTTCAAGTAAGGGTTTAGGGCGAAGAGGTAGTAAAGGGGGTGGAAGTAAAGTCCAGAAGGGCGATGGTGGAGGATCTGGGAGCTGGGGAGACCCCAAACTAGTCGAGGAGTGGAAAGGACTTGGTAAGGAATGGATGGAGCTACTCGGCGAGAGACAGAAGCAGGACGCGGCATCAAACAAAGTTAACAACGCCACGGGGCCTTCCACTAGCAAAGCTCAAAACGGTAGTATCGAGGAGAAGATTGATATGCGCATAGAGTGGATCATGGAACAGGTGAATATCTATAAAGCTTGGATTGTAGAGCAGGAGCGACGAGGTGGTGATGTGAGTAAGCCGGTGGAGAAGCTTCGCAAACAAATTGAGAAGTCCAATGCTTTGATAAGAAAGATACGTATCAGTGCAGACGGAAGCGAGTCAGGTCAGGACGGTGGGGGTTCTTTTCCTATGATCGGGGGGAAATCCATGGATGATCTGGGCAGATGTTTGGAAGCAACAAAGAACGGCGTGGATGAAGATCTAGAGAGGGGTAAAGAAGGCTCAAAGGCAGGCAACAGCGAGAGACAGAAGGGTCTAGGCAGAGGACTGGAGGATATAAGGAGCGGGTTTGAAGCGATGAACAGCGCTGGGGACTTGGGCGGGCACGGTCGGTCAAAACATGCGAGACGCAAGGATACCGAGCAGCTTTCGTGGAAGAAAAGAGATGCGAAACTTTGAAATAATTTTGTAACTATACCCCCCGTGTTTGTCTCTCCTTCGTGTCATTATTTTAACCTCATAATGAATACTAGTAAGCTGCTTCCAAGTACCTGAACTTGTTACGCGTAAGCTTGGTATATTGACAGTATTTCTTTTAGTTACTGGAGACATTGTCAGGAGTGCAGCATGCACATGGACCAGCAGACGATAGTATTATAATTATACAACTTAGGATGCGACGAAAGATGCAAGGTCAAAGAATCATGGGCAATTCCCCAACATATACATGACAAGCCCTTTTGCTGATGGACCAATTTCGATCTTGTATCGAAGATCTTCCGGTAATAGCCATCAGAGAGACTTGAAGTAACTGTAGTGTAATTAATGCATTATCCCCGTTTGCATCCTGGGAGGTCTCAGGAGATACAAGAACAGCTTGAAAATGACTTACCATACCATTTACGATGCCCGATTTCACAGAAGACCAGATATAAACGGTAAGCTTTGCAGTATTTACGAAGGGTGAACCTGTGCGTGAACATCGCTTTGCGACTCATAAACAAAATATTTACATCTGTTGGTGATGTTATCCATTTGGATATTGGACTGGGTGGGGTGGGACCAGGAAGTTTATCACTGAAATCATACAATCATGAGACAACTCACCTTTTAGTGCCAGACATGCATGTGCAAAGCACTTACGTTGCATTGTATTATTCCAGATGGAATGGAAAATCCATGAATGATAGTATTGAGAGGATATATCAACTGGAATTTCTAAAACCACGTTATAAGCATCGCCATTGGTGCCCGCTTTATTTGCTGAATACTTGGAAAATATCAAGGTGTGGTGACCACTTAGCTAGTGCTAATGAAAGTTTAAGTACGTTAATGAGTTAGCATCAGAGGGTTAGTCTCCCTTGCTGACCTAATTCAATATATTGATGATAGTCGATCGATATCTTGTAGCAGGCCATAGAAGACAGCCGTTTTGCCACCTCCTGAGCTCGTCGTTCTTGTGAAAGCCATTGACTTTGTTCAGGTTGTATAGCTGCTATGCCAGCATTAGAATACATATATCAATGTATCACCAGTATATATTTTTTCGTCTGATTTCACTAAGTCCTTGCTCTATCTACGCAATGCCGAATAGGCCGTTAAGCCGATGTGTGCCGTGCATTTTTTTCTCTGCTTAAAACCACCGAACGGGGGCACCCACCAAATCAGCGTTATATTGGACTAGACTATCAGAGGGTTAGAACACTTGTCATTGAGTTGCTTTACTTTAAACCATCCATGCTTCACTACAAGCATAACAAATGAATTATTACAAAGTCAGCTGTGTCAAATTGGCCGACGCTAAATTTTCTTGTACAAATAACACACTTCCTTGTGTCTGATTACGCGCCACCATAGTCAAATCAGCATTATTGATCATTTAAACCGTCATTTGGACAAACAAGTTTTCGGTCTTTCGTGCATCTCACTGTATTTTAGCATTTGAAAAATCAAGTTCCGGATGAGAGGCTTGGAACTTTTTCAACGTCTGAGAGGCCCTGGTTAGAATTCAAGTAAGATCAACTGTACGTACTACTCACCTCCATCTTTTTAATCTCGTCGGAAGTGGGCTTGCCCATTTGCTAAAGCCAGAAATCAGAGTCAGTGCTTGCAAATTGTGTCAAATAACCCACCTTCTGCTGATTATCAAACTGTGAATCGTTGTATTAGCAATGTAGAACATATTATAACTTAGCACTTATCCCATACCATCATCTTTTCGACCATGCCTCTGTAATACATTGTGTAAGATGAGCTAGTGGATACAGATAATCTCACTTACCTGGTTTCACCATCAAGGTCGCCCAATTTACTATTCTCGGGTTGAATTTTGCGTGTATCAATCTTGGGATGGTGTGTCAAGACATTTTCCCACCATTGCTGTTGGTTCAGTTTTTCGAGATGAATATGAATAGCCTCCTGATCCTCTATTGTGGAATGCCTTAATACTGTAGAAGATCGAAGCGCACATTGCCACTCACCGATTGTCCAGGTACTATCTTCAACTTTAATCTGCTTGCACAACTCACCATCAAGGATCTTATCCTTGCCTTTGAGACCGACGCTCAATTTGGACTTTTGCATCACTATAACTAAATCTCTTGCACGTGTGCCTTTTGGCATTGGAACGATGATGTCGACCTCTCCTAGCTCTTGTCGCCATCGATAAGGCAATGCTTTACAGGGTTGCTCAGTAACGATAAGAAGTGAGACGTTTCATTCGTACCAGCCTGTTCTGCATCCTCTCGTGCTTTGTCCTCAGCATCTTTAACCTCCCTTTCCTCCTTCGAAAGCTTATCGTATTCGCCGTCAGTCATGGAGATGAAGAGATCTAAGACTTTTGATATCCGATAACTGACGATGCAAAGACAAGGAGCTAACTTTGTTTATCGTTGTGTATCTTCTCGGACTCTCCTAGCGCAACAAAATCGTTACAAATGTGGAAGTTTACAGTTTGAAAGTCAGCGACTACCAAGGACTTGTGTCAATCTGTAGTATGATAAGTTAGTCTAAGTATCTGGCAGGCATCTCATCGCAACGAAGGTTCGGATTCTACATAATCAAGTGGCGAAAATACAGGCATTTCCTGGAAGTTGAATAATGGTACGGTGGTAAGTCGCGAAGATATATCGGCGAGCATGAAGAATCGTTTGGCTGATTTAACTCGTAGACACCATGTCGAGGCCAGAAACTGGCGATGATGCATCTAGTATGCCAATCGTGGGGGGAATATGTAAAACCCTCGATGTCCCTGGCGATCCCTGGACGTGTAAAGGATTTAGTCCACTTGCCTGGCTTCAAACATCGCCGAAATACACAGTTTACATGTCAATCCCCAGTCTATCTATTTCATACCTATTTCATTCTTAAGTATGGATGGCAGGTCAGGTGAAAGATCCCGACTCTCCCCTCCAATGAAATTAGGCCAATTTTTTGGCTCCTTTAAAGGCAGTGCCCCCCCCCCCCCCCCCCTATTCGTGTACCAATAACTCTTAACACTTTCATTGTTAATCAGATATTGAGATGGCATGACCCTTATAAAACAAATTGCGTCCTTGATACAAGCTAAACATTATCTGATACATACGTGATATCATGATAACGATGGAGCTACTTTTTACTTGTACATTCACTGGGATTCTTCAGGCTTTGGTTCTCGTGCTTGGACTTCCACGTCGGTCTCCAGGACCTCTGGAACTTCCTCTGGCTCCTCGCCCTCTTGGGGTAATATGAGGTTAAGTATTACGGCCACAATACCAGAAACCAAGACTAAACGCAATTGTAAGTATTTTGCATTTCCTGGGTGCAGAGTTAAACTCACAAGGCGTGCTTAGCACAATCGTTATAGACTCAAAAAGCCCTTGTAGGCCAACGTTTGCATTTTGCACACCATCAAAAAGATAAGTGAAAACGTCAGGTACGATGAGGTCGCCTATGCCGAACGACAATGCGGCAGCAAGGACGAAGCGATCCCGCCGTGTGAACCGCACGTAAGAAAGCACGCGAATACCAGAAACCGCAACGCTGGCAAATAAGAACGTCGTAACTCCTCCAAGAACGGGATTTGGGACTTGGGGAATGAAATAGCTTATGAAACCGATAGTAAAGCAAGATAAGGAGGAAACTCACTAGCAAGGAAAAAGCCTGAGATCTTGCCTAACACACCGAACATTATCAGAAAGACACAGCACCATCGTCCAGCAGAACGGTTTGCGCAGCGTGTGATAGCGATAACGCCGTTATTCTGCGAAAAGCGATTACTATACATCGATTCGGGTTATAAAGGCTGCGCGGTCACCTGTGCAAATATCGACAATGGAGTCACAGTAAATAGTGCAGATATAAACCCGCCTAAACCATCACTCTATCATTGCAACCCAGTGCGATAATTAGTACACGGGCGATAAAATGATCACTGAAGACATACGAGGACACCACCTTGAATTCTTGAATCAAAGTCTTCTCCATCGACCTCAACGCGAGAGACCTCGGCGGATGCTGTGATGTCTCCAATAGCCTCCATCGTTGTAGAAACTGGAAAATGTCAGATATTTCTTCGCATAGGTAGTCATCACCAACCATAGACCGCCAGCATGGGTAATATAGCGGGGGGATATACTCCTATTTTAAACCGATGGACCCTATAGTATGGTTGGTGCCAGTAAGACATACTACTACATACCAGCTGTAAAATATAAGACTTACCAAAGAAATGTAACTACGGGCGCTGTAGTGATACTGCTCCCATCAATATACCCCGTGGCACCTGAGACAACGCATCCCACAGCGAGCCCGACGATAATACTTGCGTTCTTCAAAAAAGGCGAACCAAAGAGTTCTGTCAAGATGATACTGATGAAGGATAGGAATCCAAGGCCGATAAATTCAGGGGATCCCCACCTATCAACATATCAATATGTTGGCCCAATTACAAAAGTAAATTAGATCCAGAGTAGGCCGACTCACGGGAGAGCTTTTGGCGCCTGTGTACTTGGACAAAGCATATATATTCCACTAGTAGGGCGTGACTGGCAGCCATTTGACCCACCTCCCCAGTCTGGGATACCAGAAGATCCGACTAGCGATGCGCCAATCATCAGAATGACTGTTCCTGCAGATGCCCGCATTTGTGACCTCAGAGTAAATTTGCAGCGGGAGCACTGAATTACAAAGTTTACGAACCAGTAACCATTGGGGGAAAGATGCGTTGTAAAATTCGCGGAGGGACGAAAGACAAGCCGACTTCGAGGAGAGAACAGATGAGAGATGTGCCTGCAAATAAATGCCCTCCGTCATTGACATACGCAGCGCCATTAGCGCAACTACTTACCTAGTACCATCCCGTACGCGTCAGGACAAGCCCCGCGAATCATTGTACCATCAGAAGCTGTTGTAGAGGGGCATGTTCCATTGCTGTACATTGCTGAAAAAATCTGGCGCAATTTAATCGGAATTATTAAACTGACAAGTAAGAAGGCTTGGTACTCACTGCATCTGCCGTGCTAAGGGTAGCAAAGCTGGTGCCTACGACAGAGAGTAGCCCAGTACCGAGATAATAACCTTTGAAGAGCTTCATACGGGACATTTGGACAAGACTGAGTATCCCTGCAAGATACATGCTCTGTTAATCTCACTTCAAGAAGATATAGAATATCCATACCACATCCTATGAGAGATGCAGAAATCATGTACGCCGAAGTCTCGCCGTCGAGAGCAAGAGAGCTTGCAAATATGATGGGTGGTGTAATCAGCCCAGCAAGCATCGCAAGTGAGTGCTGCAGACCGCATGCCATCGCAAGCACCAAAGGAAGCTCTGCGTCGAGAGCGTAAAACGGCGGGGCCCGTGGCCTCATGCTTTTGCGTCCACCGATGGAAAAAGGAAGAGTAGGGGTACAGAGCCAAGTATAATTGTAGTTACCCAGCCAGCCGTGCTTGGTGGTCAGCTTACGATGAACGCGGGCTACCCCATGTTTAATGCCCATACGCCAGCTTGTATGCATGGGCGCCGTTGAAGGCGGTTGCTGGTCAACCACAGATGATGACATATGTAGGTCCTTGGTTCAATTCCTTGCTTGAAAGTCTGCTCCAGTTACAAGTCCTGCGACAAGGTGGTTGGGGACGAAGAATTGCATCACTTATCGCACTGAATAAAAGGGATTTGCACTGCTTCCACTCTCCCGCGATAAAGCAAGTTACGATACTGTTTAGCGTGGAGAGATAAGGACCTGCTAAAAACTTATCGCGAATGTCACGTGCTTAAATTAAGCACATGATGCGGACGCGGTTATCCCTAAAACTAAAAATACAGCTGTCATACATGTCATACTAACCACAAGCTTATAGCGATGTATTATCCTCCCATTCATCATCTATGTTCATGTCGCCTTCTATTATTGACCCTGCACGTCCACCTCGCTCCATCGCACCGGGGATATCCATAATTCCAACGGTCCTCAGCCCAAACGCCTCCGGATTCGCGCTACGTGCAAGTGCGCGTTTGTATGTTTCGTCCCATTGCGTATCACTGCGAAAAAACCTCCGTCGACCCTTCCTTCCCGGGTGTCCGTCTGGATCTACATCAACGTGCTTATTCGTGAGGATGCTCATACGTGTTCTGTGCCGTCGTCTACGATCAGCCGAGTCGTCATCAGACTCCCACTGGTAAGGATCTGTGTCATCCGACTCGTCTGATTCTTCTTCTTCTTGTAAATTATATACTAAACGCGAATACTCTGATCTCTTTTCAATTAATAACCGTGTCTTTTAATTGACTGCCCAGAGGTGGAACTCACGCGCTAATCGCTCGTCTAGTTCGTTTCTCGAATTCTCATCACCATCGTCCCAATACCCAAGATGTTGTCCCAGGCTCTCCCTTGGCACATCATGCATGCCAACGGAAGGAGGACCCGGTAAGGCCCCAAGCTGCTCCAAGGCTGTAGTCCTAATAAAACTGTATAAATTCTCTTCCAGGCCCGAAATACGTAAATTCATTTACCTAACCTTGTCTAAGGACCCGTCCCGCACGTTCAAATCCTCCATATTGTTCTCCGGAACCTCAAGCCGATATCGTGGACCAAACCACTCAAAGTATTCGTTCCACGGGAGCTTCTCATCAATTGTATCTTCAATGCCGAGTGCACATGCAGTCTCGTATGTCCATACTCGAGCAACGTTTTTTATCGTATAGCCTCCACCACCAAGCAAGATTAGAGGTATATTTTGCTTCCTGAGAAACTGGACGCAGTGCGCATGGCCATGCATTGTGATATTGAAGCACCCCAATTTGTCTCCAGCAAGCGAATCTGCGCCGCATTGCAGCACAACGACAGATGGTGCGAAAACTTGCATGCACTTTGAAACTATCTATGGGAAGAACCGTTGTTTAGGAAGATTCGTGTGTGATCAGTGTAAAACGAACCGGTTCAAAAATGCTCTTGAATGCCTCGTCCGTGAGCCCGTCTTTGAGTGGCACGTTGACCGCATAACCCTTGCCCTTTCCTCTTCCACAATCGTCCTGCGTCCCTGTCCCCGGGAAGTATTCGCCAAACTTATGAAAAGAACATGTCATCACGCGATCTGTGGTGTAAAACGCCTCCTCTACTCCATCCCCATGATGGCAATCGATATCGATATATAACACCCTCGAGTATGTCCGCAACAACTCAAGGATCCCAAGCACTATGTCGTTGATATAACAAAATCCAGATGCCTCCCGTTTTTTCGCATGGTGTAGCCCGCCAGCCCAATTAATTGCAATATCCACGGCACCAGATGATATACGTTGCGCTGCGCCTGAGAGAATTCGATTGTTTCCATCTTCGCGATATGAATCAAGTACTCACATATAGAACCTCCTGCAGAAATTGTGCAAAAGTCGAAAACACCCTCGAATGCTGGGTTGTCCTCACCCATTAAAACTAATTGAATAATGGCGTGAGCGCATACGCAAGGGATAAAGGTAGTGTAAACGTACACCTCGTGCCGTGATAGGTCAATTGCTCTGCAGTCTCTGGAGTAACCCGGTTCAGAAAGTGAACATACTCATCTGTATGGAACGACGTCATAGCCTCCGGAGAGGCACGCTTTGGCCGCTACATACGGTCTGGCTAAGAAATGTGATGAGCAGAATAAAGAATTACCGCACTAATATATGCATTTTATCAAGCATGTCGTACGCTGAAACGAGATCGTGAGTGATTCGTATGCGGTGAGGTTTCATTGGATGACCGAGTCCCATATGTGAAAAACCGACATCGCCTGTAAAGTTTATTTATTAGTATGCTCCCCAGAGTTAACTTGACCATACCATCATAGTAGTAAGCCACGCGTCTCTTGGACATGGTAAAGGTATGAGAACACGACTAATGAACAAAGGTTCGAAGGCTTACAGGTGTTCGACTTCAAAAACAAACATACACAAGCAGAGATAAGATAAGATAAACGAAACGGAATCAAAAGTGAAGATCTAGGTTTGGGTAAATCGAGGCATTGTGTTTAGTTTGCCAGTGCCTATAGGAGATTGTGGTGTGATGATGCAGTACTAAGATCAATGCAATATAGTCCCAATGCAACTATGTAATGATAATGATATAGCCATTGCTCAACCTGAACAAGTCATCCCATGCGGGCTTTCTTCCTCGATGGTCCTAGTGGTCCACTACCCTGACTGCCCGCATATCCACCTGCGCTCAAACTAGCAAAACTTGCTGTACTACCAGGTTTCGACAACTGAGCCTGCACATGTGCCTGTGCCTGTGCTTGTGCTTGCGCCTGAGTTTGTGTTAAGCCTATCATGGACGGCGCCTCATCTTGAGTAATACGCCGTTGAGGTGGTAACTGATGCTGCGAGACATAATGAAATGCGCTAATCAAAGTAGGACCCTCTCAGACGGACGTACAGAAGCTGGGAGGATGAATATACTCACTTCCAAGTAGGTTTTGGTTCTTCTTGGAACCACTTGTGCTGAATTGCTTCTTTGGCTGTTAACCTGTTGTCCGGGTCGTAGGCGAATAACTGACGTAGTAGTTCATAGCCTTGTGGTGATCGAATACGACTGTGACACCATTCGGCAAGGCGGTTCTGGTATCTAAAATACTTAGACAATTGATCAACCTTGGTCGAACATGCAACTCACGGATCCAGACGCTTCATATTCTGATATTCCGGCATGTCTCGAACCCCAGGCCAGTCCTTTTCTATAAGACAGCTCAAGGCATTGTTGGTTTTAGGACGATGCAAGTCAATGTACACACCATCTGGAGTTCCCAATACTTCAAATATCTTCAAAAGCTGGTCCCGTTGAAATGGGACATTCTTCTTCGAGTCTAACTTGGCCTCCTCACCCTTGAATATTGGACGCAAGCTCGCCAGCTCGGCTATCACACAACCCACCGCCCAGCAATCGACAGCTTTGTTATAGTGTTTAGCGCCCATCAGCAACTCTGGTGCACGGTACCAGATGGTCACAACGACTTTGTCTCCAGCAAAAAGTGGCTGCAATGGTTGGTATATAAGCCTTGCTAGTCCAAGATCGCCGATTTTTACTACGCCTTCAGCCGTAACAAGGATATTGGCGGGCTTGAGATCTCGGTGCAAGATGTGAGAAGCGTGCAAGTAGATAAGGCCATTGAAGAGCTGGTAGATCAGGGATTTCAAGACCTGGGAAGGAATTTGAATGCGCAGTGTTTGCGAATAGTGATGAATGACTTGCTATCAGACGTTATTAACACGAAGGTCGCAAGAACGAGTGGTGTGACAACAGACGCACAAGGAAATCGTGCTCGGCATAGTCAAAAACCATGTAGATAGACTTGTCCTCCAGAATAACCTCTTTCAGCGAAACAACATTATCGTGACATATCTCCCTATTGAGCTTGACATCATCATTGTTGTTAGTTTCGGTTAATTCCCAGAGATGGGTGGCTCTCACCGCTATCTCTCGGATTGCACTCTGGCTGATGCCAGTATAAGTGACGACATCTCCCTCCTTGTCTGGCTTGAATTTCTTGATTGCATGTATACGTCCGTCGGACTCTGTGCTTTGGGCCTTGTACACACGTCCATACGTGCCAGAAGAGATAAATCCAAGAATATTATACTTTGATGCTACTGTACGTCTTGCTGCATCCCGCTTGAGGCGGTAAAGGCGCATTGGATCAGACTGCAGAATATTGTGAGACCTTTCTTCGAGCATGAGGCCTGCATGAAGACCGAAAGTCGCCGACTATGATATTGTATTTGACCTCGAAGACGTGGACCGCAGTGAGCAGTGCGTGGGAACTTTGAACCAGACGCAGACAGCAATACTTTTGTCGGGGCACAGGTTAACCAGCATCTTTGCTGGCGTATTCCATCTTCGAAACCGAAACTTCTAATACAGCCAGGCAACGGTCAGCTAGCCATGGCGAAATCTCAGGAAAGCTTCATGTTCACGGTCGGAAAACTCGGTATGTTACACGCACGTCTTTCTTGCTTCTGCAGATTAACCACAAAGTTAAACCCCCAGACGCCGGAATGGCTGTAAGCGAAGTTATTACCTGCTATACACCAAATTAACCCCTTATGATTCCGGCCTTTTGTAGATCCTTCTCGGAGAACGAGCCCACTTGATCGAGTTTCCTTCCGTGCTGTTGCCTCCGGGGGCGACGACTGGCTCAATAGTCAACATCTCCGTTCATCAAAACACAACCGAGGAGCACAAGCGAGATCTCGAGTTCTGGTCCCTGCAAAACAATATTCTGGAAGCCTATGGACATACGTCACCGTCCCCACCAAACCTCGAGGTATGTGTACGCCGAAAACCCTGCACCGTTGTTGCTCATCGTGTTTTAGGTTCGAAATGTTACTCAGACCTCTGTCACGCTTGAATGGCCTACCATCAATCTCGCGACCGCCAAATTGCGTTCTCTTGATATATACAAAAACGGACAACGTCTCGCTGCCATCCCAAACGCGGTTACCAACACCTCCACGAAGCTATCCAGCCTTCAGCTTGATACGGAGTATACTTTCCAGCTAATCATGCGTACAACGGCTGGAACATATCCTTCTAATCTCATCCGTGTGCGTACACATACCATAGTTGATACATCCGGCATATCTGTTTGCTTCGGGACAGTGCAGGACCCTGCGTTACTAGAGAATGCCAAGCTGGCACTTGGGGAAATGCGTGCTAAGTGGAGTGATAAAATTCAAATAGATACCACGCACTTTGTGTGCACCACACCAGCGGCGACTCCCAATGGTGCGCAGGCCACAGGTGGCATCAGTAGCGGACCTGGGGTGGAGTATCAACGTGCCCTTCAACTTAGCATTCCTGTTGTGCAGCCTCATTGGATCTTAGCCTGTCTTTCAGAAAAGAGGTGCGCAGGATCTTCCTTATTCCGTCGATCTACTAACGGGGGTCGTGTAGGATGGTTCCTATAGCTGGCTTTTACCTAGGCACAACCCCCTCCACACCGATGAACTCTGCTCCATTCCAGCGTCCCCAGTCGATGTCTCAAGCGTCTTTACCACAGTCTGCGTCTTCCAGCAATATGCACAGAAATGGACCCAACCGTGCGTCCATGCCCGCACCGCAGCGTGTATCTCCCGCTTCGCCTCCTGCAACATTGAATGGTAGACCACATCCCACAAGTCCGGAGACTAGTGCAAGGTCCATTCCGCTCGATGCTACCCCGGAAGAAGATCACGAGGAGGAAAACCCAGCGGGAATGCGTTCACCAACGGATAGTGCGGGGCGGAAGAGTAGGAGTGGGACTATGGATAAAAACTTCAAGTTCCCTCCATCGAACACCTCTCCACCAACGAGTGTCAGCGAAGCACCCAAGCCAAAGCCAGACCCACCCTCACCCCCCGGGCTCGAAACAACCGGAGCAGCGGCTCGTGAGGCTCAGGACGGTGAATTAACACCTATCAGCTTTGTAGTTCCATCAAGTGTGGAAGTTCCACCACCCCCTCCCGTGGAAAAAGAGAAGCCTGCTCAGGTGGTAGATGATGGAGAAGAGGAAGTGGGTGAGACGGAGGAGATTGCGCTCAATTAGATGTTTGTTTTCCCGTTCCGGCCTCTTGTTATTTTTTTTTACTGTAAATACATCGATGTTGTAAATATTCAACTCCCTCAAGGATGGACTGTAAGCTGTTGTATTTATGGTAGTATGGTGTAGTTCTCTCCGGCTTATCGCCGTTACGTCAGCTGCCGTTGTCGTCCAGCCAATTTTTGGCCTTTGAAATCCTGAGGGAAGATGAGTGCCATGGGAGAAGGCATATTGGTACCAGAAACATTCCTCCCACTTCCAGGAGACACTGTTAACCAGCCTTATGTCTCTGTTTCCTGCATCCCAGCTGGATTTCTTCATTTACCCGACCGGGAGGTCTTCGATGACGCCCTGGAGCAGCCTGAGAGCACCGGCAGACAAGTTCCCTCTTTCGCATTCCTTATCGATCACAGCGAGTATGGGAAGCTTTTGTTTGATCTGGGTCTGAGAAAGGTATCCTTGCGTACCACTATGGTTGTTTTTGGTCGTTGCTCTCATGCCGTGACTTAGCATGGGCAGGGCTATCCCCCTACTTTGAGGGAGACTCTGGAGATCTTCGTCGTACATTGCCCTCGAGATGTCGTAGATCTCTTGCAGGAGGGTGGCGTATCACCCAGTGAAATAAGAGCGGTGATTTACAGGTGTGTACATCTACACTTCATTTGCTCGAAACTGATTGCATTTCCTTTATCTGACAAGCCATCTACATTTCGACCACGTTGGAGACTTGACCCCTTTCATTTCAGCTCAACTCATTCTAGGCAGTGAAGCTGCACAGGTTATGAAAAAAACCTACCCCAAAAACCCTGATAGTGTATTCGCCGAGTTACCTCCTGGTCAGAAAGTACGCTACGTTAGTTTTGCAGAGGAGGAGGAGCCACCAACCGTAGATCAAGGATCTTATATGGCTGCAGTGTATCAAGCGCAGATCAACCCTGCATTCCCCATTCCTTCGCGAGAGATGCCATCTTCGACTGTCATTTCACCACTTGGCTCGTTCACACAGGCACTGGATCTTTTTAATGACGGCTCTTTTTATCTTTTGGATGCTCCAGGTCATTTCCCTGGACATCTCGCCGCTCTTGCTCGTGTAGCTCCCAACCGCTTCGTCCTTCTCGCGGCAGATTGCTGCCACAATCGCATTTGCTACGATCCTGGCGATAGACTCGTATCTCGCGAGAACTACCACAACGTTGATGACGCGAGGGATACGGTTCTGCGACTCAAACGAATGAATCAGGAGGATAACGTTGTGGTCATCCTCGCTCATGAAACAGAGAGGTTACATGAGATGCCTCTATTTCCGAGGACTTTGAATCAGTGGGCAGATGAGGAGGCCAGTAGGAAGGCTCTGAGAAATATAGCGGACCGACAATTGTCAGTTTAATCCACTAATTGTTGCATAGTAAGTTGGAGGGAGGCAGATAGCAAAGAAAGAAGTTATTAGAAAGGGGTTTCTCTTTTATTTTGTCACTTATGTGTATCGATGCACTTGTAATCCCTGCAGACATCGCATGTGTGTAGACCGTGGTTTAAATTTCATCTGTACTCCTCACTCAACGTTTGCTTTTAGCGCACCAGTAATTAGTCCCTGTGAGTCTACGATTCGCGCAATACAGTAGTCAGTGGCATCGTAGACACTCGTATACATGTGTTTATTCAGAGCTACACGGAATACAATGGTAGTTTTTTGATATATGCTGGTACATTGCAATGAATGTACCGGGTACGATATTTATACAAGCTCACAAAGATTTTGCCTGAAGTCCACCGCCTTGCCTTCACTCATCGTGCGCGTGAGGGCCAGGTCCAGTGAAAGTGAATAAGGATTTCTTGAATTCTTCCGATGTAGGGTGTGCAGTAATCGGATGGACAACAACCTGCAAATAGACCTTTTTTATTAGCTTTTCCACCAATTAGGCCGTCAAACTAACCTGAGTGTGCAAGTCTCCCTTAGGCAGTGTCCAAGCGCCATGTTGAGAAGTAGCATTGACGCTGTAGAATAGTCAGCGAAGTAATGAATGCTATGGCATGAGCCTTACGTATAAGCATTGTATTGCGGGTGATACTCAAGGGTCCAACGCTCAGTGACAGGAGGTTGATGGAAGACTCCATAAACTGCGTTATCGATGATAGCGGCGTTTGTGCCAGTGGCAGTGATGATATAACGACCGCCGCCAACATTTTGAACTTCAAGCTTAAAGATCAATTGATGGAGTTAATACGTATCAAGACCCTCAGCTCGAGAAACACCACTTGCCTTTTCTTGCGTTCCTGGGAATAAAGCCAATTTCCTGGGGTGGTCACCCGAGGCATGAAGGGTGTTTACGCTGTTGCCTTTGAAAGCAACGTTGCTGATAACATAGACATTACTGAGCAATTCGTTAGACATTGTATGGAAGAGGTTATTTGTGGTGGTGGTGGTTGGGCCTTTTGAAGCATAGCTGGAGGGGTTTTATACCGTACAGAGTGCTGTCCGTCTAGAAAGGGGAATGACATGGGCCCGAACAGTGTCGAAGAGAGTCGAATGGAAGTGGATGGATGTTTTCCGTACTGGGCAGGTTTGCAATGGTCCTGTCATCCCGACCCGCACTAAGTACGTCAAATGCTTATGTAACGTTTGCAATTGTGCACAAAGTACGAACACGTGATTTCCACACGCGTCCACGAGATCGAGTTTTTCTACTGTGATAATCAACCGTACTACTCAATATGTGTACCACCGTCCCTTTCGACCAGACTCATCCTGGAACATCGGCCAAAATTTCATCCATCTTTGACGTGTCTTTAATTAGGGTCGACTTTCTCGTGCGTAACAAGCTACTGGCGCAACTTTACCTTTTATCTCATAGTAAACGCGACACTCTACCTTCTGGCATCAAAATCTACGTTATGAGACAGGATCCATTCGTACCATATTCATAGTCGAAAGCTTCTAGAATATATCGCTAACCACCTCATGTCTCCACCTCCCCCATCCAACTGAATTTCTCCTTTTGACCATGAGGTCTTCGATGGTTGTTCTAGAAGAGCCAGACCAGAGTGCTACTGAGGAAACTATCTCCTTTTGCGTCCTTCTTGATTGCAGCAGGTGAGAGCCTTTGGTTTTATCTGGTTCTGGGATAAAAACCTAGATCAATTAGTGTTTCGTGCAGTCACCGATATTTGCTTATACCTCATCTATAGAGCCGATTGCGTCATATGATGGGCGAGAAGCAGCATATGCAGTTAGGCCATGTCCACCTGATAGGTACCATTCAACTCAACTCTTCCGCAGCGGATCCGCTCAGGTCGCGAAGAGACTTGCATAAGATCCTGTCGGTATATTTGTCGAGGTGCTTGCTAGTCGGGGTGTCTTCTACGTCATTTCATGGTCTCGTGTGTACATGTCCTAGATCTTTTTAAAGACCGCTGATTTAATTTTTTGGTTGCCCCAGGCCCCTGTGATGGATATCATGCTAGACCCATTGCACGAGGACTACGATAGGGGAGACGACCTGAGAGATATCTTTGAGTGACTCGAACGAATGGATTGAGAAGGTAATATCGTGGTCGTTCTTACCCATGACCACACAGGTTGAATGAGAGATCGAGGAGTTGGAATCAGTGGGCGGATTACGGAAAGTATGAATGCATTGAGAAATATAGCGGATGAAATGAATACAATAATAACTTGAATTTGGGGAAAGATGATAACATATAAGGTAACGCGACCTATGAAAGATGCGCTCGTAGTTACGTCTATGTACTGTAGCGCACCAGTGATTGCTTTTTGCGACTCACAGTCCATGGTCGGAGGCAGATAGCAGATACTCGTATACATATATTTTCTTCAATTGAGCTACACTACAAAGGTAATTTCTTGAAACATGTTACGAAACATTGTGTTAAGTATACCAGGTTCGATAGTTGTACAAGCTCGCAAGGCTACAATTTAAAACATCACCTCGCCTACACTCATTATGCGCCACGGTGTGGTCCTTCGAAGGTGAACAAGAAGGTTTTGTAAACATCTGGGCTGGCATCAATGGGGGCGACAGCAACCTGGAGTATTTCTTGATTAGCTATTCCAATAAATCATGCTATAAGAGTTGCCTGAGTGTGCGAGCCTCCGTTAGGCACAGTCCACGCGCCGTTCTGAGAAGTAGCCTGGACACTGTAAAAGTTGTCAGCACGAGAAATCAATAACAGGGTGGGAATCTCACATGTAAGCATCATATTGTGGTTGATATTCGAGAGCCCACTTCTCAGAAGTTCCGCGAAAGATTCCAAAAACTTTGCCATCGATGACAGCAGTGTCTGTTCCAGTCACTTTGATGTTATAAAGACCGCCATGGTTGCTAACTTCAACCTTTGGTTAGGTTCGACGCGATTAGTACAATGATAATGACTCTGACTTGACAAAATCTGCTCACCTTGGTTGCTATTTCCGACGGAGGGAACATAGCCACTGGCCTGGGGCTCTCGCCCGAGCTGTGAAGGGTGCCTACGCTGCCTTCAAAAGCGACATTGCGGATAATATAGTCATCACTGGGTAGTACAGACATGGTATAAAAAGACTTCCGAAAGTAAGGATTTGGGGTGCTTGGACCTTAGGCCTTATGAAGCAAACCTGAAGGGGCTTTATACCATACAGACCACTCCGTTTCGAAAGGGGATATAGGATGGGACCGAACAAGTTGAACAGAGTTAAATGGAAGCAGATAGCAGATATGAACACTGAATTGGCAGGCACTGCCCATTACGGAGGCTGGTGGAGTTTTATGAAAGCCGTTAGCAAACTGTCAGGAGCTAACCGAGCTGAATCCCAAAAGGTAAGTCCTCAAAAGATAAGTCCTTTTGTGTGACGAAGCCACTGGAAGCTTCAGTGTCATGGTGAGGAGTCCGGCGAGCACGAAAGCAGTCTCCAGTGTCTGGCCTAACACAGACATATGATAGTCGATATATCTACGTTTATAACTAAAAAGGAAGGCGAGCTAGTTGGAGAGGCTCTTGCGCCACTACGCTGCCACCTCGAATCCTAAGCAGCTCATATCAATAGGGCAATAGGGGTGCAAATCTGAAAAATTACACATATTCCTGGACCCGTAGGATCCAGGTTTCCATTTCGTAATTGAAGTTTTTTTCCTTCCAGGAGCTTTTATACCCTTTTTGGATAGAACCTGTTGAGATACCGTGGGTGTAACGGTTGTGACTCAACCGTCACTAGCCTTGAATCACGTTGTTGCTTATTCATACCTGCCTTAGTCTTGCTCGCGTCACATTCCTTATTCCAGAAACCGAGCCATAATATTTCTCGCTAGTCACTCGTTCGCCTTTTATGACTTAGCCTACTTTCGTTTCATATATAAAGGACCCTCTTGTCGTAGAATTCCCCAGTCAATTCTGAATACACCAGTAGACCTTAAACTGTGATTTGGACCCAGAGCTCTCTCATTTCCCTACTACTACGTGTGACGTTCCGTGTGACCATTACATCTTTTTTCACAAAACATTGTCTACCCCATCCAACCTCTATCATCGCAAACGGACCTCGGCCTGATTAACCAAGAACACCCAACACCGCAAAACTATGAATTCAACCAATCCCTGCCCAGCCCCGTACCACTTGCATGCAAGAAACTGACCAACTGCCACGGTGCAACTGAGGGTGAACAGTGAGTCCTCGTTGCCTCGCATTACTGACGACTCATCTCCCTCAGCTACCAACCTACAGGGCCCAGGATTACCTGGCCCTCCCTCTGTTCGTGGCGCGCCTGCTGGCAGTATAAGCGCCACAGCGAGAAGTCCCTCCGGTCATCCAGGAGATGACCAGGAGGTGGTAGAACTGCTATATCAGACACCTGTTAGTAGTTGAAGCGATGACTGAAATATACCCCCCCATATGACGAAATTGTCTCGACTGATGCCTGGACGCAGGTATGGATCAGTTTTAAGTATTGACCAAGAAAGATTGGTCGAGCAAGCGGAACATCTACTCACCGAAGAGCAACTTCTCTCCATCCTCAAAAGGTGGCATGATCAGACTGAGTTAGACCCCAAAAAAAGTTCCGATTGTGACAAAGGGCCTTCAAATGCCAAAGGAAAAGAACACGACCACAGGAATTGGGGAATCCTGGCCAAATCTCAAATTGACATCGCAGAACAACAGTCAGCACTAGATGCGTGGAAGAAGGCACAACAATGGGCCCACCAAGAGCACCACAGACCTACTGCTAGGAAAATAAATGTCAGCACAAATAAGAATGCAAGGGCTCCTCAGAACAAAAATGTAGCCGAGTCCTATGATACTCAAATAAAAGACACACGGCGACAACTGAAAAAGCTGAACGTTTGATTAGAAAAAGAGAAAAGAAAGCATGGACGAGTAAGACCTTCCGTACCTGTAGTAGAAAACCACAACCCCATGGAAACAATGATCAACAAAATGATTCATCCTCAGAAAGGGCTAGCTATGCCGAGGACACCTCATACATTGAATCCTATCAACCAAATTCCTGCTGGAAGCTACATTGGGAGATTGTTACACCGGCTTCAAAGACAATGTAACAACCAAGAGTTAGTTACTCTGGCGCACACAGAACACACTATAAGGAAGATGATGAGGGAGTGGTTACCCCTTGAGCTGCAGAGAGTTTGTTGGTTAACAACAGGAGGACTCACTGAGGAGTCTCCTGGATCTATTGGGGTATATATACTACTACAGTGTTATTTGTACATGTGTACTATACAGTTGATAGAGACAGTGGCTGATGATGTCATGTGAGAGAGTTGTGTCTATAATAAGAAGAAAGGCAACACGGCGTGAGAAAGAGGAGTTTGGACAAAAGGGGAAGTGCCGCATGGCACCATGTGTTAGAATATACTCTGACATACCAATACTCCATAGGATAATACCTCTGATTTGTAAGCCAGCCCAGTATGCAGCAGCTATTCTGTGTAAGATGTCCATGGTTGCATGTCATGTTTAATATCCTACATTGTATAACCTTGGTCATATAGCTCAATTGGTAAAGCAGCTGGCATGTATCCAGAAGGTTCCAGGTTCAATCCCTGGTCTGGTCATTATCCAATTTTATCACCATGTGTGAACGCTAAAGTACAAGGTTAAAGCGGAGAATAAAAGTAAAGGGAAGGTCTGAAAGTTGTGTTATCGTAACACTACCCCCCTTCTAAGGCTCGACTTCCAGGCGAGACCAAATACCGGAGGTAGTGGTAAAATTTTCGGGCATAGGTTGAAAAAGAGAATTAAAAAGATTTGAATCCATGCCTCTAAGCTTCCTAGGAGCTGAGGGATTCTTAGAATAAAATTTGCGAACAGCATTGCGAGAATTGTCCAGATGGGCTTCTGGTTCCCACTTTCTGTCCTCGTCTCCATAGCCCTTCCATAGGACTAGGAACTCTAATTTGCCACGCTTCAAGCGTGCATCCACCACTTGTTCGACTTCGAACTCTTCTTCACCTTCCTGGGTGACTATAACTGGTCCGGGCCGGTCTACACGCTGTCCTGGCAGCGGCCCTTTGTAGGGTTTCACATGGCTTATATTGACCGTGGGTACCACCCTCATTCGTTTTGGGAGTTCCAGCTCCACCGCGTTGGGTTTGACTTCCTTAATCCGGTAAGGGCCAATCCACTTTTCGGTCAGTTTTCTAGACTGCCGATCTTTTAATTTTAAGTGGTCGGTGTCTAACCAGACCAGGTCGCTGACCTTGTAGTCAGGGGCCTTAGAGCGTCTACGTTCTGCCCTGTCTTTCATCTGCTCTGCAGTTTTAAATAGCGCTTTGCGCGTGTTGTCTAAGACAGCCTTCATGTCCTTGGCCATGTTCCCAGCAGCCTCGTTCTTGCTTTTACCAGGTTCTACACCCGTTCTGGGGAGGTACAATCTAGTAACCTCGAATGGTGCCTTTCCTGTAGCCGACGACTGTTTGATATTATATGAGAACTGGGCTATCTTTAGCCACTTGGCCCAATCCGTCTGTCTGTCATTAATAAATATACGGAGATATTGCTTCAACTCCTGGTTGAGTCTCTCCGTTTGTCCATCGGTTTGCGGATGGAACACCATTGATAACTTAGGTTTGATGCCCAGCATCCGGCATAATTCTTTTGTAAATTCGCTAGCGAATTGAGGTCCTCTATCGGAGATAACTGTTTCTGGCAACCCATGGATAGACCATACAAAATCTTTAAATAAATCTGCTGTACCAGCAGCAGTAATGGTTTTGTTGGTGGGTATGAATACCACTTCTTTGGAGAAACGATCCACTACCACCATTACTGAATCATACCCATTGGACTCGGGCAGATCCATTGTAAAGTCAACCGATATATCCTGCCAGGGACCAGCTGGTATCGGATTTGGCATAAGTTTACCGGCCGGCGGTTGGTGAGAATTCTTAGCCATGGCACATCTCAGACAGGATTTTACGTATTCTTGTATGTCTTTGACCATGCCAGGCCACATATAGTTTCTGGAGATCAACTCCATCGTTTGTTGCCACCCAGGGTGCCCAGCCACTGGAGTGTTGTGATGTCTATCTATTGCCTTGATCCTTGCGGACTCAGGCACATAGATCTTGTCTTTAAAACAGAAGAGCCCGTTTTCCCATAAATAGTTTTCATTGCCGTCAAGGCGTGCCTTCTCTGCTGAGGAGATGTCTTTCTTGAAGACTTCCAGAAGATCGGAATCTTGCCCGATTCTAACATTGGCAACCCTTGATTGGTCTATCAGGGTGGTGCCTTTGTTATCATCCTCAATAGCATTGGCATAATCCTCTCTTCTGGATAAAGTGTCCGCTTTCCCCATAGAGCTTCCAGGCTTATGAATTAATTTATAATTAAACCTTGACAAGTACACTGCGTAGTGAGCCTGTCTTCGGTTCAAGTCTCGGGCCGTCATAAAATATTCCAGATTCTTATGATCGGTACAAATTTGAAATTGGTACCTAGCACCTTCTAAGTAGTGCCGCCAGTGCTCTAGAGCTCTAATGATGGCCAGCATCTCTTTGTCATAAATTTGATAGTTGCGCTCTGTAGGCAACAAACTATGCGATAAATAGGCACAAGGCCTCCAAAGATTGTCAGGGCATTTAATTGACAGAACAGCCCCAGTAGCAAAATCAGAAGAGTTGGTTTCTAGCCGGAACTCTTTGTCTAATTCTGGAAATGCTAATATGGGCGCTGTTGTAAATGCTTGTTTAAGCTTATCAAAAGCTTGTTGTTCTTTGGCGCCCCAGTGCCAAACAATGTCCTTTTTAGTGAGATTGTTCAACGGTCTCGTGATTTTTGCGAAGTTTTCGATAAACCTTCGGTAGAAATTGCTTAAGCCAAGGAAGGCCCTAACTCCTTTGACGCAAGTAGGTTCTGGCCACTCCAAAATAGCTTGAACTTTCTCAGGGTCCATCCTGATTCCGTTCTGGCCTATGATCAAACCGAGGAAGTCTACTTCCTTCACTTTAAAATTACATTTTTCGGGTTTGACAAATAGGTCCCGTTCCTGTAAGCGCCGAAGGATTTCTTGCATGATTTTGTCATGCTCAGCCTCATCGTCCAACTTCGTAAATATTAATAAATCGTCAATGTAAATGACAACACAGTTTTCCATATCCGCGAAGATCTCGTTCATCATGCTCTGGAAGGTCGCCGGTGAATTGGTCAACCCAAAGAACATAACAAGGGGTTCAAAGGATCCTCGGTGGCACGTGAACACGGCCTTCCAAGCATCTTCTTCTTTGATTCGTACATTATTGTACCCCCATCTGAGATCCATCTTTGTTAAGATCTTGGCACCAGCCAATTTGTCTACTAGCTGACTGATCAAAGGCAGTGGATACGCGTTTTTAACTGTGTGCTCATTCACGTAACGATAGTCCATAATCATACGCTTCTTACCATCCTTTTTAGGAATGAAGAACACCGGGGACGTCATAGGGCTTTTGGAAGGTCTGATGTAACCCTTCCTATGCTGTTTGTCTATGGAACTTGACACCTCATCTCTTTCTGGAGCAGAGAGTGGTATCATGTGTCCTTTTCTCGGTTTGAAGGTGTCCTTCAAATCTATAGCATGGTCCCAAGGCTTAGCCTCTGGGAAGCGCTCTGATTTATGTTTTGAAAAGACTTTCCAGAAGTCATGGTACTCGGGAGGTACCAGCCTCTTAATCTCTTCTTCGGGTTTTACCTCATCATCGTCATCGTTGATCTTTTCTAAAGATCTGAGCTCATATACGTGACCAGTGTTTATCTTTTCAAGACGCTCATTGTGATGGACATGATTTGGTTTACCCAAGTACACACACTCCTGAGGGCAACGTGACAATGTGACAACCCCTGTCTGCCAGTCGATCTCAGGATTGTGTTTAAATAGCCAGGTCCAGCCTAATATTAAATTAATCTTCCCTAGTTGGGTAGCTTCGGCGGTGACTCGTTCTCTGTGTCCTTGGTATTTGACAACAAAAGAACATTTGTGCGTGATGCAGCCACCCGCGTTCAGCGTACCGTCAACGTTATAGACGGGAATAGATACATCTAATTTTACAAGGGGGAGTCCAATTTGCTCCGCCCAGACCTGATCTATGAAGATTCCGTTAGTGCCTGAATCAAGCAGTGTGCTGGTTGGGTGTACTATGCCCCGGGCAAGGTTTTCCACACCAACGTCTAGACGAATCTCCTTTTGGAATAAATATGTGCGCATCAACACACACCTTGGGATTTCAGGAAAGGGTGGCTCCAACGAAGAAGAAAGGGTATTGAAGTCTACATGTTTTTCTATTTTATTTTTACCGGAATCAAGCACCCTAGTGTTTGTCTCGCCGGGGCCACGCTCTAAAGGAGACGCTGGTGCAGCGGTAGTATCATTTATTTTACAATCACATTGCTTCATACAAGTACATACTTCTGATAACAAATTTAAGAATCTATTTACAAATTGGGGAGCCATCCCCGTCTTTCCTTTATTGCTCGTGCAACACCCCGGAGCAGGGGCCACCTTATTGTGGTTTACTTCATTGTTCATAGGAGCGAAGGCACCCAAGTGACCTAAGCTCCGAACTCTTTACCCTGAGTCTTCATCTCAGCGACCTGCTGGTCGTAGAAGAAGGCCCGGATTTTGTCATACGAACGACCGGCTGTAACAACCAAGATATACTCTGGCGCACACAGGAACACACTATAGAGAAAGATGATGAGGGAGTGGTTACCCCTTAGAATGCAGAGAGTTAGTTGGTATACAACAGGAGGACTTGCTGAGGAGTCTCCTGGATCTATTGGAGATTATATACTACTACAGGGTTGTTTGTACATGTGTACTATACAGTTGATGGAGACAGTGGCTGATGATGTCATGGGGCCTAGCCCGCATGGCCAGCTCCACTGTGTGAGAGAGTTGTGTCCAAAACAAGAAAAGGCAACGCGGCGCGAGAAAGAGGAGTTTTGGACAAAAGCGGGAAGTGCCGCGTGGCACCATGTGTGAAAGCTATAGTACAAGGTTAAAGCGGAGAATAAAAGTAAAGGGAAAGTCCGAAAATTGTGTTATTGTAACACCGGCCAGAGTTTGGAGCCGATCGTCCGGTTTCTCGGACTCTAGTTGGCGCGCCTGGCGCCCTTGGTTATTTTTTTGTTGAGCGGCCTGCGCTCCTTTTCTGCAGTCTCGGGACATGTGTCTCTCTTGGCTGCAATTGTAGCAGTTCCCCTTGAATCTGCGCATCTGTTCCTCTTGGACCGCGCCGATATCCATGGGGGCTCCCTGCCCTGGTTGCAGCCCGAACGGCTTGAACCCGTGAGAATGTTTATGTTGGTTTGATGACCCAGGGCCCCTCTGGGATTCGTTGTTTTTGGTGGTGGACCCGCCACCTTGGTGCATTTGGTAGAGCTCCATGGCTCTACCGACTCGTCGTACTTTCTCAGCCGCCAGGGCCAAGTTCTCATTTCTAGTATCCTGCAGATAGATCTGTTCTGCAATGTGAGGGTTCACATTGCGTTCCAGCAGTTCTACTGCGTGTTCATTTCCAAGCCCTCCTTGGATGGAGAGGGCCAGGAACCGGGTAATGTAATCATCCGTCCTCATGTTTCCTTGTTTGAAGGAACAGATTTGCTGACACGCCCAGTCACGCTCAGCTTGCTGTTTGAAATATTTTTTGATCTCTTTCTTGAGATCTTCCCAGGTCGGCCACACTCCTGCAGTGTAGCATACCTGTAATATTACTTTGGCGTATCAACCTGCCACAGGTCCTTTTAGTCGAGATAGCACTGCAGTGGCTACCTCAAAATTGTCGGCAAACGCGTCTCAATTTGCCTTGACCCAAATCTGGAGCTTGATCCACCATTCGGCGAATCACGCTCTGTCTCCCTCAAAGGTGCCAGGGTCAGCAACAACTTCGACTTTTTTATTGAATTTCTTCTCGACCGAGGGGGTTGCCGCAGGAGGGTTGTTCTGCAGCTCGGCGAGTTGCGAGGTCAATGTTGCAATCTGTGCACGCATGGCATGCAGCAGACTGTTCATATCTTGTTGCGACGACATGTCGACTTGCTCTCTTTGTAAAGTAAAAAAAAGGTAACTGGGGGTCCCCGCTTGCTATCTGCGGATCAACCTCTTCCCAGCTGAGTATCGGATCTCAATCTCCGACTACCCACACTATAGTATTTGAAAGGTATATAAAAAGTATTCGTAATAAACCCTGGTCCAAACAGTTGTCAGGGGGTGGTCCGCTTGTTAAGCTGTCAACCCTTCTCCAACTGGCGGAGGCAAGTGCCCGGCCTGGTCAGAGGTATTCGAAGAAGAAGTTTTGTATATAAATTCTAATCAACAGTGGTTCCACACCGACTGCTGAGCTAAGTACTCCCCTTAACGCTGGGGGCCGTGTATCAACGGTTTTGGTTCTTCTCCCAAAGCACTACAAGGCCGTCGCAAAGAGCGCACCTATCTGCTATGCGGGATATTCCCAACCAATAACCAATCTCCTTCACCCTGGAGTCCGGGTGCCCAATGGGACTTTTGCACAAACGTGCGAGAGAGTAGAAGAGCGAGTCCTAATGTAACAACCAAGAGTTAGTTACTCTGGCGCACACAGAACACACTATAAGGAAGATGATGAGGGAGTGGTTACCCCTTGAGCTGCAGAGAGTTTGTTGGTTAACAACAGGAGGACTCACTGAGGAGTCTCCTTGATCTATTAGGGTATATATACTACTACAGGGTTGTTTGTACATGTGTACTGTACAGTTGGTAGAGGCAGTGGCTGATGGTGTCATGGGGCACAGCCTGTGTGACCAGCTCCACTGCATGAGAGAGTGTTACGATAACACAATTTTCGGACCTTTCCTTTAATTTTCATTCTCCGCTTTAACCTTTTTACTATAGTTCACACTCCGTGCCATGCAGCACTTTCCTTTTTCGTTGTAACTCCACCTTCTCGTGCAGCGCTGCCTTTATTCTTCTTTTAGACACAAACTCTCTCACGCAATGGAGCTGGTCACACGGGCTGCGCCCTCTGACATCATCAGCCACTGCTTTTATCAACTGTACAGTACATAGGTACAAACACTCTGTATTAGTATAAATACCCCAATAGATCAAGGAGACTCCTTAGCGAGTCCTCCTGTTGTGTACCAACAAACTCTGCAGTTTAAAGGGTAACCACTCCCTCATCACTACCTTTATAGTGTGTTCTTGTGTGCGCCACTCTTGGTTGTTACAGAGAGTTTGTATCTAAAATAAGGAAAAGGCAGTGTAGCGCGAGAAAGAGGAGTTTGAACAAAAGGGAAAGTGCCGCATGGCAAAGTGTGTGAAAACTTACAGAAAAAGGTTTGAAGAGGAGAATGAAAATTAAAGGTCCAAAAATTGTGTTATCGCAACACTAAGAATGGGTCCTCTGACTCATCATTGGGACCTGGAAGTAAGAAATGTCGGCAAACACATAGGAAAAGCACCAAGAGACAAATCCTGAAACCCACGGAGCCATCTCCATATGATGGAGGCCCTGACTCGAGAGAGTTTCATTGTTTTGTGACAACCGCAACCACATATGTTAAAGAAGGGCAAGTACCCTGAGCTAATAGAGTCTATCACCTCTCTGTATTCCTGAAAAGCAAAGTGTATGAGTTTTATGTGCAAGAAGTGGCGGATAACCTGTTTGAATGGGATCTTCAGAGGTTCTTTGTGGGGATGTTTAATCACTGCTTTCCTGTAAATTTTAGATTAGAGCAAAGAGAAAAGCTTTGGAAGTGCTATCAGAATAGCAAAAGTGTACAAGAATATGTCTATGAACTCACCAAACTGTGGAACATGATTGGAGATGTTGATGAAAGGCAAAAAGTGATCCAGCTTTGGACTGGCTTGAATGGGGATCTGCAAAAGGGGCTCTGGACCAAAGAGTTGCATCCAGGAATGTTGTTTTTAGCTGAAGTTCAAGGAACCGCCGAACTTCTTGAGATTGCCAATGCGGTGGGCAAAGCAGGCACTTGAAGGGCCAACCAGAAAGTGAAGAAGGAAAAGGGTCACGGAACTCAAAACTGGGGAAACACATCTGGCCAAATGAGTCAGAAGAATAATTCCAAGGACAGGAACTCGGCTCACCAGCCAACTTGGTCTAAGGAAGTAGGACCGTTGAACAGAAAAAACACGAAGCTATCCCAAACCACTGGTGCAAAGAAAGACTATCAGAAGAAGCTGACCCCAGAGGAATGAAACAGAATAAAAAGCAAAGGACTGTGCTTTATCTGCCAGTCACCCGAACACTTCAGTCAAAACTGCCCAGAAAGCCGATACATCACCTTGAATAAGAGAGACAGACCCCCTGGGGTCCCAGCCTTTGGGGCGACTATTGAAGCGGTTGAAGTGATAAACCCAGAAGATTTAAGAATGGCCGCAGAAGTGAGTGAAATATTGGACACAGTACAACTAGGAATGATATTGTTGGACCAGGACGGGGAGTGGAAGAACACATGAAGCGCCATGGGAGACCCATTCCCATACACAATTTTCTCTCTGCTCAATAGAGGAACTCCCTATCATGGCGATCCGACAACAGAGTGGGAAGGACCCAACTCCGGTGGACATTTCAATGCAGAACAAGTCTCAGACACCGGATATGTCATCATGGACAATTATCAGCCTGAAACTGACTGGGTAAGAGTTCCCATCAGTTTGTTGAGCGGACCATTATTTGATCTGGTCCGATGGTACATCAAACAGAGTGCTAGATACCTAGGATGGAGTCAACGGGAATGGCAAAACTATGCCTTCCTTCTGAGCACCCTCATGCGGATGCGTGACCCCTTGGAGAGTCAGGCCACTTGCTTGATGAATGAAGGAGCCCTGTACTTTGGAGACAATATGGACCATGTTCTTCAAACTGAGCAATTCAGTCTGAGCACGCAACTTGTCAATGAGATTCAATCCTGGTACATTATCAATGATAAAAGCTTACTCTTTCAGACCTGGATCTTGCGGTCTCAGTTAAGTAACCCCAAGTTCAACATCATAAACTGGTACAATAAAACCGTTGAGCAGAGTCTTCAGAACCTGTGCAATGAGCTCCTTACCGGAGTGGATGAGACAGCGGTTTTTGACTGGCTGTACCAAGTACCCACCGGCCCTGAAAAAAGTGCTGTCTTGGAAATGGTGGCAGACTTGACTAGACATTGTCCCAATGCCCAATTTGAGGAAGTAGGATCTCAAGCTGTTACAATAGAACTCAATGGTCAGCAGATTCCCTCAGGAACATACCCAGCTTTGGAACAAAACGCGGCAATAACCAAAGATTACAAGAGAATGTTGCCCCAACCAGTCGTGGTCACAGTTCTGGTAAATCAACAACCGGCGCGGGCTCTAATTGATTCTGGGTTATTAGCGGACTTTATGTCATCAACTCTTGCCAATCAGTTGAAGGTTCCTCTGTCAAAACTAGCCAAGCCTCTTCCCATTCAGTTGGCAGTTCAAGGTTCTCATTCTAACATCAGCTTTGGGACATGAGTAAGCCTTGAATACCAGAACATAAAAGAGGAACAATACTTTGATATTATAAATCTCCAGACATATGACCTCATACTAGGAACTCCGTTTTTGTTTCAACATCAGGTGTTGATAGGACTCAACCCCTCCCAAATTGTAATTGGTTGTGATAAAGCAGTTCCAATGAAAGGTGATGAATGTTCTCATCTTGACTCACGCGCAGCCAAAATATTTGAGGACCACCTAGAGAAATTTGGAGTATGGTTGAGAAATTATGCACAGCCCCTCTGTGCGAAAGCTAGTGAGACCGGTTTGCCTCCTCTACAGGATATAAATCATACCATACCTCTCATTGACGGAACAAAAATATATGCTTGGTGCCCCGCTTGTTGTCCAGAACCATTATGGGCCCAATGGTCGGAAAAACGGGCAGCCTATTTGGCGTCGGGAGATGGCAGATTACTAGCCAAGTAATACAGTATCTATGCTTCTCATCAAGAAACCTGGGACAGATAAACTACGATGGTAATAGACTTATACGCAAGAATAAAAACACTGTAAAGTGTCTTCACCATTGCCAAGCATGGATGGTATCTTGCACTGAGTAGCCCAGAAGCCATATCGATCCATCATAGATAGACAGGATTCCTATGAGCAAATACAAATTGTACCAGAGCATGTTGATAGATCCACAGTAACTACGCCTGATGGGAACATGGTTAGCCTGGTCATTCATGCATGTTTACTTGGATGATATCCTCATCTACTCGGATACGCTGAAAGATCATGAAGAGCATGTCATCTTAATATTGGACATTCTAAAGCAACAAAAATTGTATCTTAGCAAAAAAAAACTGCACTTTCTCTGTAAGGAAATGAAGGTGTTAGGACGAATAGTCGACAACTCAGGAATTTGAATGGACCCACATAAAGTTGATTCAGCTCTTAAATGGAAAGTACCTACCAACCGTGACTTATTGCGCGGATTCCTGGGATCAGTGGGCTATCTAGCTGACGACATATACAAGGTACGGATACCAATGGGATCTACATAAAGGGCGAACCAAACCATCGGACAAATGCTTTGCTCCTGCATAAGTCCCAACCAGAAGGACTGGGTAGCTAAGCTCCCAGCTATCAAATTTGCTATAAATCTTACCCGCAAAGAAACAACTGGATACTCCCCGTTTTTCCTGAATTTGGGACAAATGCCGTGGGCCATGGTGGAATACCCCTCCTCAGGACAAATATCTCGGAGTCAGAGCCTACACTTTGAAAATTAAGTTAGCAATTATGACAGCACATAATGCTATACTGGAAGCGCGTGTAAAACAAACAAGGAACAGAAATACTAAGTGATTACCCTGCCCATCTGCGGAAGACAATCTAGTCTATATATCAACAAAAAACATTGCCCTGCCGAAAGGATTAGCTAGGAAAATGGTGCCAAAATATATAGGCCCTTATGAGCTGATAGAAGATTACAGAAATAACTCATTCCTGGTTGACTTACCTTCAAGTGTAACAACCAAGAGTTAGTTACTCTGGCGCACACAGAACCACACTTTAAAGAAAATGAAGAGGGAGTGGTTACCCCTTAGGCTGCAGAGAGTTTGTTGGTTAACAACAGGAGGACTCGCTAAGGAGTCTCCTGGATCTATTGGGGTATATATACTGCTACAGGGTTGTTTGTACATGTGTACTATACAGTTGATAGAGACAGTGGCTGATGATGTCATGGGGCCTAGCCCACATGGCCAGCTCCACTGTGTGAGAGAGTTGTGTCTAAAATAAGAAGAAAAGGCAACGTGGCACGAGAAAGAGGAGTTTTGGACAAAAGCGGGAAGTGCCGCGTGGTACCATGTGTGAAGGCTAAAGTACAAGGTTAAAGCGGAGAATGAAAATAAAGGAAAGGTCCGAAAATTGTGTTATCGTAACATCAAGACTGAGACAGTGAGGGGTACACCCTGTATTCCACTCCTCACTCTTGCGTATTCACCTTGCAAACAATGACAGACTTTTCCCCAGATGACTGGATACACAGGTTGGTGTGTTTGAGGAGGTTGAAAATGAATGGGCGGTAGAGAAAATTGAAACCCATAAAGGAAGCCGATGAGACGCAGTCTTCACCGTCAAATAAAAGGCCAGAGAGGTAACCTGGATGGTCTACAACCAATTGGAGCCACTAGGCATAATGAAGGAATACTTAAGTTCAATGGGAGCCAAAAACATTGACAAGCTTACCAATACAATAAGTGGACCAACACCACCTGACGACCCTCACATAATGGTGGGAACTATTACCATTAACGTGAAGGGAGATCCTTTAAGACCAGCCTGCGAGGACCCTTATAAATCTCCAACTCCCTGTTGTCTCATCCTTTCACCCCTCCCTTTATTCATCCACCTATCTCTACTTCTCCTCACCCTTTTGTTCTGTTTCATCGACATACTCATAAACATCTTCACCATGCCCGCATCCACCTACTTAACCCTCCTTCCTGGACAACTCTTCCGGCTAACGAGCCTCAGTAATCCCAACAATACCACCCTCTTGCCCGTCGGTCAAATTGTAGCCTTCCTTGCTTAAAGCCTTAGCCTTTGCAATGGGAGAACTGACAATAACCCACCTGTGCCGCTGGGATACACTTACTTTGCTACTATCCTTAATTGTGATCCTCAAGTTGATGGAAGCCTGATGTTACGATACACAATTTTCGGACCTTTAATTTTCATTCTCCTCTTTAACCTTTTTCTGTAGTTTTCACACACTGTGCCATGCAGCACTTTCCCTTTGTTCAAACTCCTCTTTCTTGCGCTGTGCTGCCTTCTTTTAGCTACAAGTATCTCACGCGGTGGAGCTGGTCACACGGGCTGTGCCCATGACATCATCAGCCACTGCCTTCATCAACTGTATAGTACATATGTACAAACAAACCTGTAGTAGTATATATACCCCAATAGATCAAGGAGACTCCTCAGCGAGTCCTCCTATTGTATCCTCACAACTAACTTGTTGAAGCCTAAAGGGTAACCACTCCCTCATCATCCTCTCTATAGCTTGTCTGAGTTGTGCGCCAGAGTAACAAACTCTTGGTTGTTACACCTGACATTAGTTAACCAAGAGGGCAATGTTATTACTCGAGGGCGCCACTGACAAATTATGATATTTGTTTATAGTATGAGAAAACATGCATTGGCCAGGGCTTGAACCTGGGACTCCAGCTTTCATGGTCTGGTGCTTTACCAACTACCTTGCTAATCGTAGCACAAGGTGTAACAACCAAGGGTTATTTACTCTGGCGCACACAGGAACACACTATAAAGAGGATGATAGGGAGTGGTTACCCCTTAGGCTGCAGTGAGTTAGTTGTGCTAGACAACAGGAGGACTCGCTGAGTCCTTCCCCATGTATTGTTCCTGTATATATACTAAAATACATGAGGTATTGTACAGTTGTAATTATAGTTTAAAGTCCGATGTCTAGCATGTGACCAGTCACATGGTGAGCCTAGACATTGGTCAGGTGATGTGTCACATGACTGGTCATGTGACTATGAAAAGTCCGAAAATGTAAAGTAAGGTAAATGGTCACATGACTGGTCATGTGACTTGGAAAAATAAAAGTAAAAGTATGAAAAAAAAAGTGAAGTGTAAGTAGGTACTGGTATGTCAATTTTAACACAAGGTAGATTTGAGAACGACAAGATGACGAGGTGACGAGGTTCCCAGTGATAGCAGGCTCCTGACGCACAAACTGTAGTGCTCAGAAGGACTCTAATTGAAAGGGATGACAATGACTTTCAAAAGTGATGAGTGACGATGACAACAGTTAACAGTGGTAGCAGTGGGAAGTGTTGTGACCACACTGGATCACAAGTAGCAGAGTAGTGAACTTGAGATTAGAGAAAAAGTCTGGATTGGATTTTTTGTTGTTTTACAATGTAAAATACAGGGGTTTATATAGTAAAAAAAAGTAGGCCATGCACAGTATAGCTGTGCAAAAAGAATGAAAAAGAAGATGAAGGAAGGAATGTATGCTGACAAATCCTGCATAGGTAGTACAGGATAAAATCATCAAAATGAGGAAAAGAAAGAGATAGAACAATGAATGCTGTGTAAGTAATGTTACAGGTTTGTACAGCCATAAAATAAAGTCCAATAGCAGAAAGAGAGCAAGAAAATCATGATGTCATGGGAAGATGCAGTAAAAAAAGGGCAAGGCAAAAAAATATCAGTATCAACACAGTTCCTTTATTGTCAGTCAGGCATTCTAAAAAAATATGTGTCCATAAAAATGATTCAAAAATCAAAAATAATTGCACTGTAAATGAATGTTCTGCTGAAAAAAAGAAACTGGAGCCACCGGTCCACCACCTAGTCCAAATCCGACGGTTCCATGGCCTTACCAATGGACTGGTTGTACTAGACCACCTGGTCAAACGAGGGAGGGAGGGGAGTAGTTCCAATTTGGAACAAGTGAGTCCCAGACAGTGTGTGGTAGCTTAGCTGTAGCAAAGACAATGGACAAAAGATAAGTGTACCCAAGTGAATAGACGGCAATGTACATGGGCAACGCAAGGGGATGAACCTTCTCCAGCTCAAAAATTACCCACCCACGCTCCAACCAGGCAAGACGAGCGACCGATGTTTTGATAGTATATGATGGCAGATCGACGTCATGAAGATGGACCTGTTGCCCTATTTGGACCGGCCACCGGGGCTTTGCTGATATCAGCAGTGGCACGTGGTAGTCAACGGATCAGCGACGGAAGCGGATAGGAAGTGGTGACATCAGAAATGGTGGAGCAAAGAAAATGAGGAGGAGGAGGGTGGAGGTGACAAGGAGGTGAACCAGAATAGGGATCCAGAAGCGACTGTTGGGTAAGAATAAAAAAGAGAGTAAGGGTCCCATCGTGGGACTGAGTAAAGAAAAAAAGGTAAGGGAGGGCGACAAAAGCAAGGGCGCAATGTGTAGCCAGTGGCGACGCAAAAATTTGCCGAAATGCTGAAATGCAGAAAGTACCGAATGGAAAAGCAAAGGTGAACGCGACTGGATTGCCTAATAGAGGTGGTGCTGATCAGCCACAAATTCGAAAAAGGCAATATTAATTACTATTTCACGTAGCACTGTGCCTGTGTGGCGCAAAGGCAAGTCTTTTTGAATATTCACTTCATTCTTGACACCTGTCCATGCTACCAATCAACTTTGGTGCATGACACCGTGCACAGCTCTTGATCAGAGCTATGTCATTGGGATGTCTTCTTGTGGACAAGAAAAGAGTCTCTTATGTTGTAAGTACAGTAGAATACAAGTGTGAAAAGAGAATAAAAGAGATAAGTAAAGAGCCTTGGCAGTGACTTCTAGTCTGATGGCTAAAGGAATAACTGGAAGCAACAGAACATAGCAGAAATGCAATTAGAAAATTTGATTCCTCACCAGTGAAGATTGTGATGTAGTCAGAGTCCTTGTGTGGAAACAATGGCAGGAACCCTATGCAACCACTATTACAATTGACATACCAGCACCTACTTACGCTTCACTTTTTGTACTTTTACTTTTCATCTTTCAAGTCACATGACTGATCATGTGACCATTTACTTTACTTTACATTTTGGAGTTGCATGACCAATCATGTGACACATCACTTAACCAGTGTCTAGACTCATCATGTGACCAGTCACATGCTAGATATTGGACTTTGAACTTTATTTACAAACTGTACAGAACCTCATGTATTTTAGTATAAATACTGGAGCAATATATGGGAAGAGACTCAGCAAGTCCTCTTCTAGTGTATACCAACATTAGTATGACAACCTCCCTCCTTTGATAGGTTGTACACTTCCTTTCCTCCATTGAGTTGTTGTTGTGGTTGTACTCCAGTGCCCCAAGACTGTGTCTTGTTGGTGTTGTCACAACCACCCCAATAAAACCAAGATACCACCACTAAACTATCCCAGCCTGGAGTAAATGTTAGCAAAATGAAATGATTTCCACAATATGCTTGTTTTGCTTGCTTTTTTGTACATTCAACAATCAGAATAGGCAATCTCTCATGAGCCTACAATTAATTTGCTGCACTCACCACACTCTATTGAATACTACCTCAGAACACCATCTATCTTTGAAGCCAAGCTGATTGCTGCTGGTGGTGTCTGTGTCTGTTTTTCGGTATTGGATAAACACTTGTAGTACAACTTCATATTTGGCACAGATGGCTCTTGATTTTGTATCAGCACCAGGTATGAGATTACCTGCTTTTTTATTCTTTTGCTGACA